TAATTAAAGTATAATAATTTTTAAAGATTATTTAATATAAGCTGACCTTAATTATAGATATTAATAAATATTTACTAATTAAGATTATTAACCTCTATAATTTAATATTATAAAGTGATAAATATTCTTCAAATATATCATAAGAAGACTATCTACCAGATAGTAGTTGTATACATTATCAAGCATATTAATAATTATAATAAGACTTACAGGATTATTTCAATACACAGAAAAAACCTGAGCTAGTGGAATTATTAAAGCTAATAAACACTTAAAAGTAGCATAGTAAGAAGCTTAAGACTTACTATCAGACTATAAAAGAATATTTTAGTACTACAAGCTATATAACATTTATTTAGGATAAAATAAAGGAGGATTAGTTATAGTGATTAAATAAAAAGTACCTTATAGTATCAATAAATATATAAATATAAGAAAGATTTCTGATTAAGAAAAATCTAATCAATAAAAATAGATTTTCTTATTTAGCTACCTTCTTACAACATGTCTAGAAGGCTAATATATCTAATAGTAAATTCTTATTAGCATTAATAGAAGATTCCACATAATTAAAATGATTATTCTGTGTGTTTAAATCCTTACTTTTCCTATTATTCTTTAGAACATTGAATAATTATTTCTTGTTTAGCTAATTAGATAATATAGTATTTAGTTCAAGTAATTTAGTTTGACTAATATTGTTAGGAAGATTATTAAGATTATTATTAAAGATATCCACATAGTTATTATCATTAAATTTCTTAGAAGTATCTTGAGTGTTGCAAAATATATTAATATTAATGATTAAAGACTTAAGTTTAATCTTTATATTACTATCATTATTATTATCATTATTATCATTATCATAGGATTCTTCAACTTTCGTTTCTAGAGTATAAGTTGCTTTTTTTTTGATAGCTTTTGTAAAAAATAAAAATAGTATATTATCTATATTATCCTTATCTATTTTGATGCTAATATATAAATAAATTATAAATTAATAACTTTTATTCTTTTTCTTTTTTATTACTTGAAAGTACTTCATTAAAATAGACTTTAAATTTATTATAGCCTATATATTACTAGATAAAATAGTGAAAGATCTTTAACTTTTTTAGAATTACCTAACTATTATAACTTCTTATATATCTAATATCTTATAGATATAAGATTATATATTAAAGTTCTTTATAAATATTTTAATAAATTTATCTTTTATTTTGAAATAAGTATTAATATTTAGATTAACTAGAGTAGATATTATATAAGCTTAGTTATAAAAGATTATCTATTTCTCTTTTTTAAGTACTCTCTAGTATAGCTGGACTATTATAAGAAGTATATAAGAGGCTGAAGTAGAAGTAGCTTGATTATTATATGTAGGACTACTAGCATTAGGTATAGATGTATTTTGTTATATTCTAAAAATAGCCTCTTAATAGCTATAATAAATGGCTTATTAATATTTTAATAGTGATTAATAAGATACTTAAAGAGTATATAATCTAGATCTAGATAGATTACTTCTTAGAGGAGAATCTCCTAAAAGATTAATTATAGAAGATGATAGTACATTTACTTTAAAGATTAAGTTTATCTAGCTGTAGAAACTATAAGCTAGATATTTTATATGTATTGTATACTTATAGCCTAGATTTTTAGTATAAAAAGTAGTTTATAATATTATTTAAAATAATTATAAATATAAAATAAGAAAGTAAATCAATAAGTTAGATATATAAGAATTTTATATTTAATAATATATATTAAACTTTTATTGATAAAATAGACTATTAGATAAGAAAGTAGTCTATTTTACTATAATATCCTACTTATTATTAGCTAAGAACTAAGTTAACTAAAGATAATTAGCTAAGTATCTAATTAATTAACTCTTACTAATTAGTTTACTAATTACTTATAATAATAAATTATCTTAATAAAATTTCTCCTAAATAATTATTCTTAATTAAATAAATATAATATTCTTATATAAGAAATAAAAAAGAGTTCCTTATATTATATATAAAAGAAGTAAAGAAGCAAAAAAGGATTCTAGAATCTTTTTTACTTCCCTCTATCAAGATCTTAAGTTTACCTGTTTGCTGACAGGTGTTTCTGTACTATTAGTACGATCATTACAGAAGGTTTTAATTGATTTGTACTTGTGCTATCACATAACCTCTATGTGTTATGGAATTTAGACTATAGTTCATGGCAAAATGTAAGTTATGTATAAAATTCATTTTGGCAAGGTTATACGAATAGGCTGCCGTACCTGCGTCAATGGGGGCCGGAATTTCGCTATCGACCATGTTTTTCAGTGATAAACCACACCAGAGAGCATGACGATACTCTTCCGGTTGCAAGGGCCTCTCTGCAAAAAGAACCCAGCGGATACAAAGGAGAAGCGAATCCATATTTTCATTGTCCCGTGTCAAAATGCTTTTGAACAATGTGCTTAGATCGCTGGGTATTTCTGCAAGTCTTTTTCTCAATGCTAGTCCGCCATTTTGATACTCGTCGTTGAGGATTTGAACAACAAGGACAACCCACATAAATACGCCAGCCGCTTTCCTTAACAGTTCAGATTGCAACTCCTCGAGAAGCGCTCGCTCCTTTATTCGCAGACGGCTGGTAATATAGGTAGTCAAGTCTTGTGAATGGCCTGACTCATCCTCCAACGTGAGTCTTATTCCCTGTTTGAGAACTATGTAGGGATAATGTCGACTTGAGAAACAGATTCTGAACGGGATGCCATGGGATTCAGCCCGTTCCCCTAGGTCTTCAAAAAATTCAACCATATCCATAACTTGCTGCTCATCGCACTCGTCGAGGGCATCAATAAAACAAGTAAATCGACGTTGACCTAGACCAGAGATAGCGTTGTTAAACAGATCTTTGAGAATATTTAGGGGAGGACAGCCCTCTTCACTGTAGCGAAGAATGTCAGGATCGTCTAGGACTGTTGGAGGTCGGGGTATTCACGGAGCAGTTGGAGCAGTAGTGAGCGATACATCCCTAAGCTCGACTTTTCGAGGGATTCGCCGCGAGCATTAAAGAAAAATGAGGCGGTTTTGGCATTCAGGCGACTTTTTCTTCTCATATTCGAGTAAGCAAACTTCATGATAGTCGACTTGCCCGCACCAGGCTTGCCACTAATCCACAGAAATCCACGGTGCTGTGCTAATCTGGCGGGATCAAGCCATGTTTTATAATCGCGATGGTTAAGAAGCCATTGGCATGTTTTTGTGTGGTTATTCTCAATTGTCATTCTGCGAGATTCCATTTGCTTGAATTCGAGGGACTTCATAAGCCGCTGTCGGTGATTTTCATTCGTGTCTTGATCTGGACATTGGGTATAAGCAGTGATGAAGCAAATGAAGTGCAGCCGCAATTAGACTAACTTACCGGAATTGGGCACCGAAGTGACTACTGTGTGCCTTTCGCTCACAGGAAGCTCTTCGATCAATTCCCTTGCATATGCGGCCGCTGTTGCTGCGGCATATCGTTGCCATTCCTTGTTCTTATGCGAATCCGAATAATCGCAGATACCCCGGATTGGAAGACATGGGATAATATCCATAAGGCCTGCAGCTTCCATTTCAAAACATATGACATCCAGTTCCCGAGCAACATTGTCTCGGGTAGCGCCATGCTTCATGACTTGATTTCCTGAAGCAATACCGCCGTGGTGAATCTTGATAGTGTCCGGTGGTCGTCTGCTTCGGGGTATTAGTTTTGACTCGTCACATGTGTCACAACTCGATGTTTGTGAATCATGTTCGTATGTCGACTGAAAGAGACGATCTGGCCCGGATGGTCGACTATAGTTTACGTGAGCCTCTAGTTTCTGTTGTAAAATGGATGGGACTCTGCTGGGGCCCAGTTCGTGTTTCGCCCGGAGACTCGTCAAAGCTGTTCCAAGGAACTGGTGTTGAATCCTGGGAACAGCTGAGCGCTCAAACTTTCCGTCTGCCACAATCTTCCCAAGATCATATTGCATTATCCTCGTGCCAACAACGACGTCCCCTAGGCGGATATCCTCTTTGGTTGGCACGCCACCGCCGATTCCAACCATCAGGGCCATACGAATCCCAGAAAAGCTTCGTTTTAGGTTCGTCGCCACGGTTGCCGCGTTGTTTGTTCCGTACTGACTTTCCGGTAAGCCTGCGATAACGATGTTATGTCCCTTGATGCTTCCCAACACGTAGCTGTTGGTATCGTCTGCGTTCCGAAACGGGACTTTGTGAACCTCATCAAGCATCGCCTGGGCAGCTGCCATCTCTATGTGCAGGGCGCAGATCCAGGCGATGGTATAATAGTCATGTTGCGGCGTGGGAGGATTCTCTTGACGGGAAAACTTCGGTCGCTTTGCAGCCGGATACTCTTCGGGCTCGAAACGTCTTTCGTCGTTCATCTTCGGGCGTGCGGAATGAAGTCAAATTCGGTTATAGTGATATCCCGCCGAACAGGCCCCGAAAGTCAGGATTCGGACTGTCCGTTTTCTTGTTTGTTTTTTGTGTTGCCGACTCTCACTGCCCCGTGGCTGTGCGCCGGCAAAAGCAACGATGCGTGCTTGCAGAATTACCGGGGTCTCATCCAATCATCTAACATGTCCCCTACCATTGGGTTGCAAGGCAGAATCTACGCCGGAAATGGCCTCAGTAGGGGCATTCGTCTATTGCTATATTTTATGCAGAACTCGCAGGCAGATGGCCTTGTATGTGGTTTATTGACTTCCACTGAGTTTCCTCTACGCTGATTGGAACCCTGTATCCCGGTGTCTAGACAAGGCTCATGTAAATAGTTGAAGCCAGAAGGGACTTTTCTGTTACGTTGGTTGCAATTCACCAAGGCATAGACTGAGTACCCAATTTCTGTTGAACATACTACTTTTACTTTCTCTGAATTCAGTCCTCCAAAGCCGTTATCTAGCTCGCGTAGATGAGTGTATACAGGTCCATGTTTCTCAACATAACTAGTTAACATCATCTTTCTCAAACATCGTGTTCCAAACTCGGTACTTCTCGCGAGGTACCAATAACAACCTTATCATCCGGCTTCTTCGGCGGGTTAGGAACTAGGTCCTCGGAATCCGCCTCAATATCATTGGCATTGAGTTTCGCCGATGTCTTCTCCTTTCGCGAATCATACCAGAGTAGAAACTGAATGACAGCAGTCAAAACAACTGGCACGGACGTTAGTTTTAGGGTTATCGTCGTGACGAGGAATGGCAAACTTACTCAACAAAACCTGAAGGACAATTGACCACAGGTACCCTTTTTTGGCAGCAGGAAAGTCTGTCGTTTTCCATACGAAATTCGGGGCCTAGACAGTATTTAGCTAAGATGTGATGATAAAATTGAGAATGTTACTTACGACAGCCTGCACGACATAGGCAAGATCATTGGCCAGTGCGACAAGGAGTGCTCTTTTTTCTGTATCGGCAGTACATATTTCATTTATCCAAGTGAGTATAAGTGGGCCAGCTCCAAACTATCAAATATAGATGAGCAATAGATTACCGCGACTTTAGAAATGAATTTACTTACTCCAATATTACTGAGCCAATAGACCACCATGCGACCATGGATGTTCTCGTACAAGGGCATTTGGCGCAGGAGAACGGAGAATAACAGCTGGATAAGTTCAAATACGTCAGTTTAGATGAAGCATGGCGGTATTTCAAACACAAGAACCTACGGTTATGACCGCGCCAATGTATATGAATGGCCATCGAGCTCCACGAAGAACACCATCGGAAAGCCAGGCCCAGATTAAAGCCATGACAATGAAAATAGCGGATGTGACATTGGGTACTTCGCATGATTAGAAACTGAACGGATGCAACAGCATAATTTTGACATTTTACTCACAGTTGTTTATTTGTGGTATAGAAAAGTAAGTCCCTGGGACTGGTGGAGGATCTTTATCGAAGCTCTTCAACCAGTATCCCATGGCAGCTTGAGGACCCCCGTTATTCCATAAGATATACAATAGAGCTAGAATCGGTCAGTCGGTCAATAGATGCAAGGACCAGAAATCTTGAGGGAGGAAATCTTACGTAGGAGGTACGTGTGCCAGCTTGTGAGCAGTGCTATAACTTTGTGCCTCGTCCAAGGCGCCTTTCCTACGCGTCCAATGGACTTCATTCTCTGAATGGAAAGTTCATGTTCCTCTTCAGTAATGTACCATGTTTTTATTCCGCTCTGGGGTAGATTGGGAAAGAAAAGATACCCAGCTACTGCCAGAGGAAAGGTTATGATGCCGTCAATGATGAACAGCCATCTCCAGCCCGCGCGTCCATCTACTCCGTCCAGATTCGTATAAGCAGCAGACTGTAGGAAACCGCTAAATAACTGGCCCACCGTTCCAGCAAGCCAGAAGATCATTGCCCGCTTGCCAATCTCAGACGGTTTGTACCACGAGCCTAGCATGTAATGTATGCCAGGGTAAAAGCCGGATCTACCAAATCAGTTGTTAATCTAGGCATAACGACAGTTAGGGGCAAACGTACTCAAAAATGCCCACCAAGAAGCGAAGAGCATAAAGAGCCTGGTATGATTTTACGCTGGACATGCAGATGACCGCTATACCCCAACCCACCTCGAGCTGCAATCATGTTAATATTGACAAGTTCATTGGAGGACAGTGTGAGACACGTACTGAGGGAATCACCCAACGCGGTGACACTCGAGTCAATAGCAGGTTACACGGGACTTGTCCGATCACGTAGCCAATGGTAAATATGGTGGTGCTGGTGACAAGCTGATTCCCGTACATTTCCAAATCCTCCTCCATGCCACTGAGATAGGCATTTGTGATATTGTTCAAGTCAAGGTATTTGAGGAAGTAGCCGATCTACTCGAGTCAGTGTTCTGTGCATGCTGATATTCGGGTGTTTTTGGTGCTTACCGAGGAAAAGGTGAGCACGCACGCATCTAGCTTGAACAGCAGCCAGCGTTCCTCCTTTGAAAGATCCAGCGTATCCCAGAAGTAGCTCTTCCATGACGGTCTCTGCTTGGCCGCGACATCTCCGTATACGGGTTGGTCGGCCATTGTGTCCACATGTTGTGACTTTTGATTCTCCGCGGACGGGCAGAAGTACAAGCTCTTATAACGATAAGCGTAGGAAATCACGCAATTTATGCCATGGAAAGATAATACCCTTAATTAACAAGAGCTAGGCTCAGAGAGCTCACTTGATATGTACGTACAAGCTAGGCTACGGAGTAAAATCATACTTAAAGATGATTATCCACGAAGCTAATGCCTGCTGCTCGGACATTCGTGATCGCGGTGAGCATATCGCGCAATATTCGAGGGGAATTCACCACAACACGCTGCATGACTAGCCACTACTAGGGGACTTTGTTATCAATGCATGCTCCATACAAGAGTAGGTATTTGCCGTTGCGTTTTGCTGGTGTACATTTTCCCCGCCTCGTTGTTGGAGACGCATGAAGCAGACAAATCTCACGGCCGATTAACATCCACTTACTTATCAGTATATTCGCTATTTTCTAGTAGAAACGGACCATGACTTTAGTAAGCGCTGATTTATTATTCATTATTCTAGAAAGCCATCCAGAATAGATATGCCCATTTACAAGACGACAATCGCTACTCCGGTAGCTAAGATCTATATATTGACCAATCTCGCCACAACAGATCGGACCAAGCATTTGTATGCCAGACTATGTACTTATGTAATAATGTCTAGGCATTGACATTGCATGTCTAGATATAGAGTGGACAGCTCATTGAGTCTTGCGTACCTGCAGGGGCTACATAAAATTTGCCGAACCCAAGGCTCAATTCAATCTATTAGATTGGTCTAATATATGAACTAAGAAACTACATGCGTTCGATATCGAAGACTTGTATATATATATATTCATTGAAACCCTCTGAACAAAGCATCAAGGACAAGAGAAGTTTCTTAACCTCCTCTGACAAAACAAATACCTAGATGTTCACGCGACAATACATACTATGTCCTACTGGATAGACGCAACGCCCTGCCGACTATGTTTATGGTTGTGGAGACTTTCTTGTTTATAATCTTGTAGCAGGTATCTAAGAATGAGGCTCTTACTAGTCAGCATAAATAAGGTAACCAAGCCCAATCGATCGGGGTACGTGCGCATTCTAACCAAGTAATAGTTCTACATTTTTAGTCGAGGTAGCTTTTCTTAGATTTACATCGTACAATCTCCGAGTGCACCTGGTCTCTGGCTCAATTCGTCAATATGTATTGAGTCAAGGTAAACGTTCAGCACCTCCTGGTCCAATGTATAGTTAAATACTCTAAGGGCTTAGGGCATACAGATATTTTGAATACGTCGGCTACAAGCTGTTCATAACTACCACAGCCTAGATTGGTCATATCTATATATGCACCAAGGTACCCAAGACAACTGAATGGGAGCGATGTCTTTCCTATGCTTTTCATGGTCATCGACCATTACGCTGGTTATTTTATTAACAGCCACGCTGTCGATAGGATATCTTCAAGGAAAGATAAAAACTTCACTTGTGATACGAGGCCTATTCTAGTAGAATTCAGTACTAGTAGCGAGATCTTGTATCGACTCGCGAACGACGGGGAGCTTTCATTGTCTTTACCTCTTGAAGACGAACAACGTCCATAAATTTGTTCGTCGTTCATGCACGACAGGAACATAGAAATGCACTTATCACATCAGTTCTAGCTGTTATTCCAGATCACCCGAGTAATACATAGCTCTATTCATAGCTTGTTATGAAGAGTTCTTCGGGGCTGTGCGCTGAAACGAATGACAGCCGCGGAAAGTCGGCCAACCCATTTATTCACGAGCAAAACTTGGGTGAGTGTAAGGTATGCTTTGCTGTAGGATTCTTGACACTGTTTCGGAAACTCCTGTTGTAATCAAATCCGAATCTTTTGAAATTCTCCTAGTCAAACCTGCGTTAGCTCTTCATGTTTCACGGAATAATAAGTTAAAATTTCCACCAAACGTCTCATTCACTACACCCATGTTCCGGAAGTATTGCTAAGACGTGACAAGTTTATTAGGGTGACATTGAGTATGTGCTCTGAAACCGCGATATTACCCGAAATGGCTAGGTAAACGTCGCGTATCAGGGATATCAGACACCCTGGCTTGGGGTTTCGAGCGATATTCCGTCGTCTCAGATCTCACAATATGATTGATGACTATAAAGATCCCCATATTTCCTGTTTATAATCTATACATGCTTGCAAGATACTAGAGAGCGCCTGAGTACCAAAAGCCATGAAACGTACAGCAACGATCGCAGGCATAGCTAGCATTGCTATACTAGCCGCCACGTCCGTTCAGGCTCAGCAGTCTGGATATGGCCAATGTGGTGGGGAGAGCTGGACTGGTGCAACCACCTGCGTGTCTGGATGGACATGCACATTTCTCAGCGAATATTACTCCCAATGTCTACCATCTTCTAGTACTTTGACCACCACGACCTCTTCTACGACATCCTCAGCAACTTCAACCTCAGCGGCAAGCACAGCGACTAGCACCAGTGGTGGAAAGTTGCAATGGTTCGGCGTTGATGAATCGTGCGCAGAATTCGGAACGGCGATGCCCGGTACTTGGGGTGTAGATTTCACTTTTGCGGATACGACGACAATTGGTGTATGTTTTCTGCCCATATCCTCCTCAGAGACGCAAATGTCTGATCTGATGGCACAAACAGGAATTCATCAGTCAGGGCTTCAACATTTTCCGTATTCCATTTGCCATGGAACGAATGGCACAGGGCTCTGTTGACGCGGCTTTGGATGAGGCATACTTGACCAACTACTCAGTTGCAGTCAACTACATCACGGAAAATGGGGCATATGCCGTGCTCGATGCTCACAATTATGGCAGATATAATGGCAGCATCATCACCGATACTACGGCTTTCCAGACGTTCTGGTCTAACATGGCAACCGCTTTCAAGGACAATTCGAACGTGGTACGTACACTTCTCTTCTTCCCTCGAGTTCAGGAATTGGACTGACAAGCAAAAGATCTTCGACACAAACAACGAGTATCATGATATGGATGAAACCCTAGTCTTTGACTTGAACCAGGCAGCTATCGATGGCATTCGGGGCGCCGGCGCGACAACGCAGTATATCTTCGCCGAAGGAAATAGCTGGACGGGAGCATGGACATGGAACACTACCAATGACGCCCTCAAGGACCTGGATGATCCCGAGGACTTGCTAATCTATGAAATGCATCAATATCTTGACTCCGACGGATCTGGCACGAGTGCGACATGTGTCTCGTCGACTATTGGGGTTGAGCGAGTCGAGGGTGCAACAGCTTGGTTGAAGTCGAATGGGAAGCTGGGTATCCTAGGGGAATACGCCGGTGGACCGAATTCGGTGTGCGAAGACGCTGTAACGGGAATGTTGGACCATCTCACAGCAAACAATGATGTTTGGCTTGGAGCTGTTTGGTGGGCGGCCGGTCCGTGGTGGCCAGCAGATACTTGGGCCAGTATCGAGCCACCAAGTGGACAGGCTTATGTTTACTATGATGAGATTCTGCAGGCCTACGTATAGGCCTACTAAAACCGAGATCTTTAGGTTGATTTCTAGAAATATTTATAGACGAAACATCCCAAATACCTAGGAAACCCTAGATAGTATCGTCAAATGAGATTTTGCGTTACCCTCTACACGATCACATGTATATCGACTAATTTATACAAATATGGGAGCTAGAAAATTCTCTAGGTCGTCCATCTCGTTCATTCCACCCGCCCATGCAACATGCTGGTCTGGACGGCATAGTATACAGAACTCGCTTGCTTCATTCCTTTCATCGGCTTGACTATGGCAAGGTACCGAGTTGTGGCTACCATAATCAGTAAATATCTTCTCATACTCGTAACCAAAGGTCTCGTCAAATGGTCGAAAGATATCGGGAATATCGAAAAAGTCTATACATAGTCGCGGGCTGGAATGAACAAGAATAATCTCCAAGCAAGATCTGTCTCTGAGTTTTGGGAGCAAGTTTTCAGCAAAGGATGAGGCAGCAAAATGACGCAGCTTCTCCATCTTTTGTTCCTCTCGCAGGTCCCCCGGAAAAATGATCAATCTCCACAATGCGCCAGGGCTGCGAAGGAGATCTCTTATTTGTATACTTGATCCGCTTGCGTGGTTAGCGACTAGGTGGTCGAAAGGATCCAAACGCATTCCGACTGTAACATGAGAATCAATGTTCTTTCGCTGAGCAGTGAGGATACTTGGCGGATATGTAATGCGAGTTCCAGTGATGAATCCGGCGTACTTTTCGCGAACCTTCTCGACCTCTTCGCACCTGGGGTCTGATTGCTTGTATGCTTGGAGGATGAGGTTGTCCAATTCCATCAGTTCTTGGGCGACTGGGTGTCGTTCTTCTTGATACGTGTCGAGGATGGACGGGTGCGCTTTTCGGGTGATTACAGAGCCAATTTTCCATGCGAGGTTGTACGTGTCTTGCATGGAGATGTTCATTCCCTGACCAGCCATGGGCGAATGCATGTGAGCGGCATCACCAGCTAAGAATATTCTTTTTTGTTTTGTTTTGTTAGTTTGTACAGCTCTCATTCGTTGTAAATTGATTGATTGTCTTACCGATCCTGTACTCGATAGCGCTTGACTAGACGTTGTTTGACCTTTTGCAAGGTACTATCATCAGCACATCAAGAGCATGCGTGCAATGAAAGAGTAAAACGTACCTTGTATATAGACCACCAGTCACAATGCCGAAACGTCAGATGGTATGGTTGAATGGCTTCTGCAGCGATTTTTACCAAGCTCTCAGGAGATTCACGTCGCTTTCCTCTCTGTGAGTTACCGTTCCAATTTAGTTGAATGTACATTCTCAGAAGCCGATTCTCTCGTGGCGCGGTCATGATTTGGCCAGACCTCTCAGACTGGATCACACAAGATTGGCGAATGTCGGCTGATATTTGCTTCGTCAATAAACCATCGGAAACGCTCATGAAGGGAGTTGAAATAAAATAAAGAGACGTACGGAAATTAGTTATAGGTACAATGTCTAGCACGCCCCAGATCGATTCCTCCGAGTGGCTCTCCATTGGAACTTCCTGCTGCTCTCTCGTCGAGCTTTGAGCACCATCACAGGCGATAACGTACTGTGCGCGTATTATTTCCGTGGTGTTGCTTTCTAAGAATAGGCTTAGTACACAATATATTGACAGCAAGAAGAACAAGCAAAAGAAGTAATACCTTCTGACAGGTCCCTGACTTTTACCTTCACGTTGAAGTTATCGTCGGTTGCGGGCAGTATGTCGATTATTTCCCCTTTTTTCTGCCATTCTACATCAATTCGTCTCTCTTCATTCAAGTAATTAAGGAGGGCACCCTCGATGAGACCCTGATTAAGCAAAACCTGGCTGAGCCTTGATAGATATCTCGGCTGAGACAGCGACCTTTTGCCCCTTTCTATATGACTGGTTTCGCTATTGTGGTTCTGTAAAGGTCATTTTGGATCCGTGGATATATGTGAATTAGCAGCGGTACTTTCGCCGAGATGCTTGTACGTACACATACATACCCAGTAACACATTTCAAAATCACCCACAGCCTGTCGCAGAATACGATCGGCAATGCCAAAACTGTCCAGGATTTCCAAAGTCCGACTGTGCAGCCCATCTGCGTGGCCTCTCTGTGTCCGACCGGGCTTCTGGTCGATTATGCGCGTTGACATGTCGCTGAACTGAGACGCCCAGCAGGCTGCCATCAGGCCGGCTGGGCCGGCTCCAATAATTAACAGGTCTGTCGTCGAAGTATTGTTCATTTTACCAAAGTCTATGATCAAATTCTAAACAATAAAGACACAAAATCAAAACGAGTACGAATGAGTCTATTTGCTATGCTAGACGAAGATCATGTGACTCAATTTCCGCTTTGGGTTATCAACGTCATTGTGAGCGAGAAAAACAACAACAAATCCAGTTTTTGTTCATTTTTGCGGGTTGTTTTTTTTTTCCTAACTTCTAGTCTAACAACTATCTACGAGATCATTGAAGAAAAAGCAGGCCTGCAGCAATTGTTAGAAATGGGGGTCACGTAGAAAACTAGCATGCAGACAGACTCACTATAATCCTCCTCAGATGCCCAACAGTCCACAACATCCAACCCTGCTCTCCGAACAAGCTCGGCCTGATCGTCCCAATCATATTTATAACTCTGAACCGCCAGCAACTTTCGCCCAGCAGGGACACTACTTTTCACTATTTTGCCTGTCGCATCTCTGCTGTCAAGGTACGTGTCAACCGCGGGATAATAATATTGGTTGTGGCTGCCATTCTGCTCATCCCAACCTCCAGTTACCTTCCAGCGGCTGAGGTCGAACGCGTCGTAGCCCAAGATTTGATTTGCTCGATGCAGTCCATTCTTGACGAATCGTCGATTTATGCCCTGTTCATCGTTGTATGCCTTCAAAACTCGCCGTGCATTCTTGCATCCGTCAAGTCCGACTAGAAACGACGGATTCCTGTGATCACCGCCACTACCGCTGGATGCACAGAAGCTGGCGAGGAATTCGGCGACATCAGCGCGCTGGAAGCTACCCAAAGTCGATCCGAGGGATAGTATAGTCTTGGGGCGCCCTTGCACCTCCGGTCTTTGGAGCCAATCGCGTCCATCGTCGTAGGTGCCAAGCAGTCCGAAGCAGCGAATATGGTTGAAATGGCCTGGAGGAACGAGCGCTAGGGTCCGTAGGAGCTCTCGATGGGACACATCCAAGGCATAATAATCAACATCACGACCTAGCTCCTCTAGCGCGTCTAAAAGGATCTTGACTTTGCGGAGATTTCTTAAACCAAAGATTTGAGGCTTAGTATATGATATATATATGTTCATCAAGCAAGGTAACGGTAGCCTACCCGCTTCCCAATTCAACTAGCATGGTGCCAGACGGGATGTTTGCTGCAATCTTGTACTTATTCTTCTCCAATAAGTGGATCTCTTCGTTGGTCAAATAGTAGGAAGGGCTGTAAGTGACGTCCTCGAAATACTTAAGGCCCTTTTCATTCCACAACAGCAGGTCTGGCAGGGAAGTCACGCCCTTGGTCGTAGCATATTCGTGTATTTTTTCTTGTACCAATGTACGCAGACTCTGGTCTCTCTTTTGCGGTTGGCTGCGGATATCAATGATGTTGTTGAGCGGGACCGCGGTGGTGATAATGGGATGTCGTTGTTGAGGCCTATTCTGTGCGTGCAGGCCGAATTGCTGAGGAAGTATGTTTTCCAACATGTTGGCAAGGGTTGCTAAGTATGATCTGTCTTTCTAAGGTATTTGAAAGTGCAAGTAGAAAGCTGTCGCGACTAGGTAGTGGACGTAAATATAAACCACCATATAGGTAAATATGATGTAAGCTGAACCAAGCAGCCAAACATAATGAAATTGCCTATCGGTACTTCACGGTAATGTATTGATGACGGAATAGAATACTCGCCATAATCCCACTAAAGGTTGTCTTTGTGATTATGTTCCGTTTTCATTTGTTTCTTGCCGTTTCCGGATTTTTGATGCGGGAGCAATTATACCACCTTAAGCTTTCCATGTTATGCTAAGAAGTAAAATTTCTGTTGACAGAAATCTACGTATCGTAACTATCATTCATTGATAGGCCTGATTAAATACACGTCAACGATATGCATATCCCCAGCCAATCCTAAACTTACTGGCGAAAGCAAATTTAATTCAACGGACTCCTCATAGTTCACCACTTTGGCTCATCCCAGACACCAAATTCCCATTGCTACTCCACTCTAATAATTGCGCAACTTCCAGAATGCCTTCGGGCGCGAGATCGAGGTCGCCCATAAGGGTGTTGTCGATTGATTCGAATAAATCATGGGTTGTGGATAGAGATGAGAGATCCGAATGCTGCTGCTGCCGCTGTTGCTGAAGGTGGTGATGATCAGATGTAGGATCAGGATGCCCATGGGAGGGATTAGCTAGTGCCAGCATTGAGTCTGCTGTAGTTATTATATCTTCGTCTTGGGTTTGCTCAAGACCTCGAGCATGCTGCTGCCTTTGATGGGTCTGTTCTTGGTGATGATGACTCTCTAACAATATCGCTAATTCCTCAAGCGTACTTAATTCAGCAAGACGATGTTTAGCCGTCACGGACCCCCTCTCAATCATCAACTCGAGGAGTCTCTGTGATAAATGAATGTCTTGTTCCAGTGCCTTTTGCTCGGTACCCGCGTAGGCAGAGTAAAACGTCGATATTAGAATGAGAACAAAACCACAGGAGTAAGTGCATTCGAGATCGAAGGGGAGGAATGGCTCTGCGAAGCATACAGTCAGTGGAATGACATCAAAAAAGGGTACAATTCTGATGGGAACAATGGTCTGGGAATAGAGTCGCCAGGGGAAGCGCACGGAGAAGATCTGCATTTCGTAACCTCCCAAGGATTTTGACAGATTTGGTGGCAGAGTCAGAGCATCCTTTGATCAAGGCCCCACAGTGTGCGATCAATTTGTCGGGGAGTTCACAAAGAAGAAGACTCATTAAGATTGGTCTAGTGGCGAGTACGACGCACTTCAGTCTAGAATTAGCAGCGTTTGGACCTCTGAACGAACAGGGAAATGGCATACCTGATGATAGTATAGATGAAGCGTGGCCGAAACCCTCGATAGTGGCATAGAACGACTCAAATCAAGCGGGTAGTACTTATCCAACTCTGGCGCAAGGCACGTTAAATGACGAAGAACTTCCTGAACGCTCTTTGTAAAGGATGGGTTCTGTCTAGAATTCGCACCGTACACAGCTTTCAGACAGACTAGCTTAGTAAGACTGACTCGTTATACAGCTATATTTGCTCGGATACTTCGCGTATACTCACTGGTAAGAAGAGTGGAAATCAATTTCGACATGCGAACATGAATAGATAGCGCACGGCGCTTGTGTAAGGTGTAGTCCGGACCCGGAAGACTTAACGTGACATCCTCGTCATGAATAGAGACGGGAGCACCCATCGACGTTGAAAATTTCAGATCTAAAATATATAGAGTCCACCAGATAGATTGCCGGCGTATACATTGTTCTGGAGAAATAGTGGACTTTTCCACCTCCCAGTTCAGGCCTTGCGTCAAAGATATTCGTAGAGCAATTCCGATCTGCCTAGTAGAATATTATTAGCCGGAGCAAAACCTCACCAAGTCATGCTTCATCTGGTACTTACATAAGTATATGCACTATTTCGGTGATCAATTGACTGCAGATACAAAGAAATGGCGCACAGAATTTCAATCGAAAGAAGCGCGTCTTGGTATAGCTCAGGAACACTGGGCAGAAGCTTCATTGCCCGAACAAAAAAAATCAGCACCGTGTATTATTGAATCTGCATCAGTAGTAGCATCACGAAATCGACTGGGCTAGGCAAGAAAAGCCTTTCCAAATGCAACAATCAGAAAATATTGGCAGTACCAAAGTCTTTGGTGGATGGAACTGGACTGAGCGGAAGAGGGATCGTAGTATTCATAAAGCCCCTCGAGAAAAGTTTCTTCATCAAAAAGATGATAGAGTTGTGCAATATTAAATTTGACAGTGTTCAATAGATATAGCGCATAGTCCATGGAAGGCATGTTCTCTTTGGTGATTATTTCGGCAGGATGGGAGGTCCAGTTCAGAGGGTAAGCAGTCCCATCAAGATGTAATGGCGCTTCTGGGGATTTATATTGTTGTTGGCCAAGCTTGTCTCGCATTGCTGCAATGACGCGTTGGCTATATGCCCACGTTGATGAAGGCCCAAGGAATCCTTGTATATTTGAACGATATTCAGCTGACATCACAAGTAACCATCGATCGTAATTAATTGAGTATCGAGGGCACTTACGTCTCCTACCCCTAGAATCAGTCAAAAATTTCGAGCTTCGTGTTCGCAGTGGTTTCGGCATGGAATTGTATGACTGAGTCTTATCCTGCTCGATATTGCTGCATGGAGCTTCTAGGCCATTTGATGTAGGCTGGCCATCTTTGTAATATCGCCCTCAATATCAGCCACAAAGCTTTTTTTTTTTTTTCCAATGAATGTTAAACGAGCAACATCTCACCCTGCGATTGAAGCTGTGGGCTGTGCCTAATTTCAGTCAAATCTGACGTGCGAGACTGTACTCTCTGTCGTCGTTTGACTGGTGGTATTTTGGAGCTCGTGGGTTCAGCTCGATTTGCTTTGCGTTTCAATTCATTCAAGAATCTAAAGCGAACAGAATGCCTATAATTAGATAAATATTCCTATTCCGTGTTACTTTTTTTTCTTTTTTTTTTTTTTCGGATCAAATACCGTTCCGACACAGTGATGTTGCGCTCGTCGCTTTCGTAGATGCATTCAGAAGACCGCCGAGCACAGTTGCTACATGGGTTCCCTCCCATACACCGGACTTTGCGTTCTCCCAGGACGTGGTCTGACAATGTTAGTGATCTGAAAGCACAGGTTGCGGCCAATATGAAGGGGATCAGATTGATCCAAGAATGCATCCGAGAGTATGGAATTGGAACTGTACAGGTAAGCCTGATCGTTCTCTCCTTTCCTCGCTCTCTTCTCGTGGCAATTCTCTCTAATATCTTCCCAGAAATACATGAATGCCATCCAAGACAATGCAGAAAAAGTGGTGCGAGATCTCCTCCGCAAGGTGCACGCCCAATTTAGCGGCTTGCCATTAGAAGCAGTTGATTTCATGGACGACGGATCTAAACTCGTTCTGAAGATCAACATCAACAAAGAAGACGGCTCGGCAACATTTGATTTCACTGGCACCTCCCGTGAGACATACGGTAACCTCAATGCACCCAAGGCCATTACATTCAGTGCAATCATATATGTGCTCCGGTCTTTGGTCAATCAAGACATCCCCCTCAACCAAGGCTGTCTTGCCCCCATCAAGGTCATTCTGCCAGAGGGCACCATTATTTCCCCATCGCACGGCGCAGCGACTGTGGGTGGGAACGTAGAAACTTCTCAGCGCGTGACAGATCTTGTCCTTCGCGCGTTCCAGGGCACTTGTAATAATCTCACGTTCGGTTACGGCGGTCAGCTTGTCAATGGTGTTGCAGAGCCTGGTTTCGGGTACTATGAGGTAGGCAAGAAGGATTTCCTTATTGCTACCCAAACATGAAGCAAAAAGAACTCTAACTAACGTCCACAAACACCAGACAATCGCTGGAGGCGCTGGAGCAGGCCCGCATTGGGCTGGTCAGTCTGGCGTCCACGTCCACATGACGAACACACGAATCACAGACCCCGAATCACTCGAGCGACGATACCCTTGCATTCTCCACGAATTCTCCATTCGCAAGAACTCCGGTGGAGAAGGCCTACACCGAGGCGGTGATGGCTGCATCCGCGACATTGAGTTCCGCCGAGAGGTCGACGTCTCAGTGCTTAGTGAGCGACGCACGATTCCCCCGTACGGCATGTGTGGTGGTGACGCTGGACAGGTTGGGGAGAATATCTGGGTGCGTCATGACGAATTTGGATCGAGAGAGATCTCGCTTGGTGGGAAGAACACGTGTAGAATGAAGAAGGGTGACCGGATTATTATTAGTAAGTGCAAGAAAGAGAAACACCATTCTCGGAGCCTGCTTTTTCTTTCTACAAAGATTGACGATAGTTCTGCTAGGATCGCCTGGTGGTGGAGGGTATGGCAAGAAAGCCTGCTAGTTGCGCCACCATTGTCTACAAACATAGGCCGTTATTCAGCCGGCTGCACAACTATACCTACACAACTCAGTAAGGCCTAGTGTAGGGCTTGATAGTAGAAGCGCAGGGGGTAATGCTGGCGTTAATAGGATAGAAAGACTATATACTAATTGAGGTGCATCTCTAACTTCAAAATCGGCCATTTTGGTGTTGAGGTTTCTGAAATTAGAAAATAGATGGGAGTTAACTTACTAGTAAAAATACATACTAAATCACTCCTTTGAAATATCCTAGTAAAACATACCAATCTAGCCTTATTAGGGGGCACTAAGTGTAAAATAAAGTTGAGAACATATTCCCAACTGTTGTGAAATGTGAATAGGTGCTCAGCTTCTTTCCTTTATAGTGTAGTATCACGGCCTCAGGTTTCAACGGTAGAGTTTACCGCCTCCCTAAAAAGGTAATAGTTGTGAAGATTTAGTTGTGGACCCACCTGCGCAAGATCCCTATTGTCACCTATGCCACCACACCACGAGGGGGAGGAGGGGGGGGCGGGGAACGCTGGATGGCATGGGTATCAGTTTACTGCATGCTTGCGCATTGAAACCGGATATCCACCCGGTCAGCCAATCAAATCACTACTGAAAGTCCACCGGCCCGGGTTGTGATTAGGGCTTTCTTATCGCTGATCGACCATACATAGCTTGTAGATAGCAACTAAGCAGTACATAGCAAGTCTGCTGTACTGTACCTCCCCTCATTTTCTTTCCAGAAGCATTCTCCAAATCACAGGAGCAGACCAGATATATGATATTACCATACACAATGGCGGAGACGAGCTGCTACCGGGCGACAGACAGTGCCTCCGAAATGGCCACCCAGCTGTCGCTGGAGATTGACAGCACACAGCGAAGCTATTCCGCCTGTACCGTGTGTCGGAAGAGAAAAACTAAATGCAAGGGCGGATACCCGGGGGTGTCCTCTTGTCGATATTGCATCCAGACTGGCCAGCGCTGTATCTTCACCCGGAAGCACAGAAAGGTCCTGATAGACCAGTCGGAGCTTCACGAGCTCGAAATCCGTGCGGGAGTTCGAAGATGTATGCTCTTTCTCTTTCATCTATCTCAGTATAGTGTACTTACGATGTGTATGTCAAGGCTTTTATAAGGACCGGCCACGGGATGCCTCAAAGTCGCATCCCTCGCCGGATGTCTCAGAGCCTAGCTCGAAGAAGTATTGGGATCTCGACATGGAAAAGCTCAAGCCAAACGACTCGTCCTCATATAACTTTGGGCGCACGGTCTTGAGGTCACTATACCAAGGGCCAGCACAGCTTTTGGACACTGCCGCCGTATATGATGCGCCCTCCTCTCAGCCTGCGATCAGTCGGTTTCCGCGACGCTCGCCCGTTCTACGACGGCCGCAGCTGCCACCATACGAGTTTGCAAAGGAGCTATACAACAAGCAACATATGTACATAGGCACCATTTTCTCCTTCCTCCGCCCCGGAGACTTCGATTATAGACTCGCCCGGACCTATTCGCACCCACCGGACCCAGAAGACTTGGAGTCGCGACTGGTTTTCTGTCAGATACTAACTATTTTTGCATTTGGGACCATTTATTCTGTCAATCAGTGGGTTGGCGATGAAGGACCCCCGGGCTTGTCCTACTTTAATGATGCGCTCACTTTTCTGCCAGATCTGCACGAGGGCGCATCGGTGTTGTTCGTCGAGGTGCTGGGCTTAGTGGCATACTACATGCAGAATTTGAATAGGCGAGATGCCGCATTCCTTTATGTTTGTATACCCTTTTGTCGGCCCCGGTGGATATTCAGAAAGAGTAATATAGTAACCCGAGTAGATTGGAGCAGCTTCGCGAATGGCCGTCAGCCTCGGCCTACACCAAGAACTTCCCAATACGGTAGCAATGGATAGCGTGGAGCGCGAGCATCGTCGCCGCGTCTGGTGGTCTATTTACAGCATGGACCAGATCATTAGCGTCAAGTCCGGGAATCCATCGTCGATGCAGGAGGACGGCATTGAAACAAATATGCCGTCACAGTGCCTGGAGACCGAGTCGTCCGATTACTCGGCTACGATTTTGTCGCGGTATACAGAGCTTTCCAAGATCCTCGGTCAGACTATGAGGGGTAAGACTCCAATCTCAAAGAGAATATAAGGAGAAAGGGAGAGAGATCTCACATCTTTACAGGAGTCTACGGAACGGCACACAATTCTAGCCTCCAGCTCATGGAGACAGTACGGGAAATTGATTCCTGTCTGGAAATATGGTTCACAAGCCTACCGGAATGTTTAATATCGGACTATGGAAATATATTTCATTCTCCAATCCGCCGTGAGTCGATTTCTGTGTTCCTGCACTACCACCAGTGCATAAATCTGATAGCCCGGCCATTGATCTTCCACCTGATCCGCAAGCAACTGCAATCATATTCCGACAGCTCGTCAACTCTTGCATCGAATTGGAGAACAGGCGTTACACCATACGCAGTCAAAGTGATAGAAAAATGCATCTATTCTGCTCGAGCAACAGTGGCCATGATGACTCATGCCTTCAAGCTGAACAACGTCGCCACATACGGGTTTATGGATGGCGAGCATGCATTTGCAGCTGCGCTCATTCTCGTCATGGTCAATCTTGTGTTCAAGTCAGGGGACGAAGGCTCTACAGACGCCGAGTCTGCCTTAGATTTATTAGGCGGAATCGCACGGAAGGGTAACGCGCAGACCCGGCAACGCCTGGACATGCTGCTAGAGCTCAAAGCTGTATCTGAACGTCATAAAAGTAGCTTTGCCCCTGATCTTAACATTAATCAGGACGATGATCTGCCCCTTGTCGTTGCAAATGAAGAGGCTCCCTCGCAGCAAACAAATGGAGCTACGGTTCCTGATCTTGTTGAGCATCACTCGGATAGCTCATCAACTGCTGAGATTATGCAACTAAGCAGTGGCAAAGGTGCAGAGCAATTGTATTGCAGTCAATTTATTAATCTCTACGCGCCTCTAGATCTTCTAGAAACAGGATTTGATTGTGAGGGACTCCTTGATGAAGTGATGCTCGAGAGAGTGGTCTAATGTTACATATATCCATGCTTTGATATAAGCACATTTGGTCAATATCCAACAAGATTATATTTGGTAGAATCAGTATCGCTCAATAAGCCATTGCCGCCTAACACGTTCTGGCATGCTGGCTAGGAATTTGCTTTCAGCCTCTTTCAGGCAACAGTAGTTTTTGACAAACCGAGTACCCAGAATTCTCTGCAAGGGCATATCGGCCTGAAGCGCTTGAAGAGACTGATCGAGTGTCTTTGCGAGCGGTGTCGTGATACCCAATTCCTTTCGTTGGGCTGGAGTCATGAGTGCAGCATCATCTGTCGGAATCGTCATTCAGCGAAGCAACTAAAATTTAACACAGAAAGAAAACATACCATGACAATCCTTATGCGTCAGCTCCAGGTTCTCGGCCACTCCAAGGTAACCAGCCGCAACCAGCGCACTCATTGCAAGATACGGATTCGCCAATCCATCGAGACTTTTCAGCTCCCAATGACCGGACGACACCTTTCGAATTGGCGCTTCACGATTTTCCGTCCCCCAAGTAACCCATTCACCTCCAGCCCAAACGCCCTGAGCGACACGAGCATAGCTTACTTCCTGTGGCAGTGAGAATGCCAAAACCGATACCAAATGACGCATGATGCCGGCCAGGAAGGCGTCTTCACGGTTCGTCGGTGTGATTGAAAAGTGGGCATGGGATGCGGTTCCAGCAGCATTGGGCCAGGGTCGTGGGTATAGTGTTGCACGTATACCGTGTTGTCGTGCAATGTTGGTGATGATCTGTCGCGCCTGAATTAATGTGTCTACAGCCACGAGGGGGCGTTCCGGTGGAAGGACAAATTCGAACTGCCCAGGACACGACTCGGCGTGGAATTGTTCAATGTGAATACCGACTTGCTTCAGTTTAAGGACGATTTCTTCAAGTACTGGGACGACTTGGATTGTGTCCGTAGTCATCGACGACCAGGCATGGTTTGTAGTCACAGGGACTTCCTCAGTCTCATTGTTGGCTGGGTTGACGACGGCTTTGACGAAGACGATTTCAATCTCGAAGCCGAATTTGAGGTTCAAGCCAAGCTCGGTCTCGCATTTATTTACGATTCTGCGCAATGTGGACCTTGGACAACCTTCTATCTCATTACCAGCATTGTCCTGCCAAAAGGTCATCACACTGAGACTGTTTGACGACTCGATGCCAATATTTGGCCGCAATGAGGCTATGTCGGGAACAAGGTAATATTGCCCAGTTGCGGTACCGGCGTCTGTCAGTGTGTCGTTCTGAAGCATGGTGATAGTCCCCATCGAGAGCCCCAGCCTACGTTCTTTTTTTACCAGCTCGAGAAAGTTTGACATGTGCATCATGCGTAGCCGTAGAGTCGCCGTGTAATCAATCACCTGAATCCACACGAATGAGTCAGAGTTGTTCTGAAGCAGCTGATCCAGCACTGGATGGTGGAAGGGTCTATTCAATTCGTACTTGGTCATGCTCGGCGATAGTTCCGACGTTTTCTCGCTGTTCTTGGCTATCGAGATCGGCGGCAGATTGAGCGAATACAGCTTGTTGGAGTTGTTGTAGAGAATATCGGCCGCTGCCTCAATAGCAAGGGGCAGAGTGAGGTCATCGTTCTCGACGTAATCGACCAGAATCTGGCAAATAGGTGAGTGAATCTTGTCTACAGATGCAGAGACATTAAAAAGGTCAATCATACCTTCTCTAGCATAGCCCGAAACTGTGTATTAGCTAGCAAAAAGCTTTCGGGATGGGAGTGCCCATCAGTGCTCCATAATAATTTACTGGTCGGCGTGATATCGAACGCATCTCGTAAGATTGACTCTTGGGCATTCCGGCTGACCATGGGAAACACAACTCCAAGGTCCAGCCATACGTTGTGGTAGACGGTCGCTAGATACCCGGCTTCGCGGGTATATGGATAGGATGAGTGCAAGAGCACAAAATCGACGTCCGGATACGCCTCGATGGTGGGTTGAAGATACGCTGGGTTTGAGTGGATCAGGCTGATATCCGAGTCTCCGTAGCCGGTGTGGAATTGCACAGGCAGTGAGATGCCAGTCTCTCGATTCGTCTCCGTAAGAAGGCCCAGGGTAGTCAGCAGCAGCCAGTCGTTGAAGTTTTTGTCTTCGATGCGAAAACTGCCACCTTTTGTAATGATGCGAAGGAACGATGATGCCACCGCGTCAATCTTGCCCAGGATATCCGGGTCAACATTGAGGCCAGTCCGGTAGCAAATGACTGATTTGAACCCGACGACATCGGGGTCGTGAACGCACTTACGGATTTCTTCAAGGAAATCCTTCTTGAACCCGGACAGCTCCTGCTGGAGAAGACACGCCGCGCTCCCCTGTGAGTTGTCAACCAGCTTGGCGCGTTGTTCCGGTTGCTGGGTGAAGTAGTTCTGGAGTAATCTTGCGGCGATTGTTTCTATACGAACGATGCGCTTCGTTTTGGCCGGGATGAATTGGTCATGCCATGTGTACGGCTCGATGCCGTCGTCGAGGAGGAGATCATCTAGGAGTAGAATCTCGGTGCCCTGGAGACATAACTTCACGTAGCTCTCATAGTCCTCCTGGACTCTCTTCCCACGGGCTGCCGTGACAGCATCCCAGGTCGGGTCGCATTCTAACAGTCGCGACAGCTGGGAGACTGCCCGGTGGTGTGGGAGCGTCTTGCGCACGCTCGACAGAGACGCGCCCACGCATTCCGACGTTGTATGCTCCAGTGGATATACCGCGTAGTTTGTGACTTCTGCTCGGCTCAAGATGTTGTGTGCATGGTTGTCGATGGTGGGATGTGTTTGGACAAGGTGGCGCAGGTCGTTCAGGCTGAGATCCATTGTGACGGGCGATCAAGTCAGAGAAGACGATATAGATGTTGACACAACTACAATCAGCACAGTCGACAAAGGCTTGCTTTATCTACTCCGAGTTCTCTTTTACCATCAGCCACTCCGCCGGCCATCGTCGCTCGCGATCGGAAACGCTGCCAAATGCCGATCTACGGCGGACTACCGACGCTGCTTATGCATATAAAGTTTTTGGAGATAGTCTAACGTCGCTATGTAGTCCGACTATCAAATGGGCGCAGTCAGCAGACCAATAATGGGTTGATGCAGACGTCCAGTATTAAAGACTGCTTTCCGGTTTGCTGGCGCGGTATCTACATGTATATACGTACACAAACATTTGAGACGGAGAAGTGAGAATTCAGCCCATCATCAACCCTGTATCTCCGAGCCAGATTTATGCAAAAGCCATCGACAGCTTCGAGCGAGATGGCTGAAGAGATTCCGACCGAATTCCGTCCGCGACCAGACACGGAGTCCCGTCCTCTCTACTTCGCGTACGGCTCCAACCTGTCATATGGCCAGATGAGACAGCGGTGCACGCATGCGCCTGGCCATTCAGCCACGCCGCGAGCATTGGCACGACTGGATGGCTGGAAGTGGATTATCTGCGATCGAGGCTATGCGAATGTCATCCCGCCTGCAGAACTAAGGATTGGCGAATTTCAGAGAGTATGGGCGGACTCCCCTGCAACCGAGAAAGGGGACACTGTGTATGGTTTATTGTACGACATGGCTGTTGAGGATGAGATGTTGTTGGATCGCTATGAGGACGTGGATTACGCCGCCCCTGTCGGCAAGGAGGACAAGGTTGCTTTGTCTATGAGACCACGAAAACAAGGGCGTGGCGATTATACGAAGTGGTATGTGCCGGCGGTTGTTGAGCAGTGGTTTGGCAAAGAGAAGGGACCGGATGTGACTACAGTACTGGTGTATATTGATGAAGAATGCGTGCGAGAAGGCAGACCAAGGGATGAGTACATCGCGCGCATGAATCGAGGCATTGTAGAGGCCCAGTCCCTAGGCCTCCCTACTGCGTGGACAGACGATGTTCTTAGAAAGTTCATTCCCAAGAGGCCAATCGATGTATGATCTCATCTCTTATAGATTGCAATGGCAAATTTGCTTTTGTGCACTTTACTAGGTATGTTTCTTGTGATTCTCATATATTATTTTCCGTGTAGATTTGCACGGTGACAGTCGGAGAGCTTCAGACTTTTGTACATGACCATTTGTACACCATCCCTGACTTACGCTGGTAGAAGGATTGCTACCTAATGATGTATGCCGTGCGCAGCATTGGAAGCAACAATATCCCAATACTTCTCGCGTGACCGAAGACGCAGAGTCTTGCCGTATTTGACCATGACCAAGAAGAATGCCGAGCAGGCCATGCCGATAAAGGCTGCGGATATAAAGCAGTCTTCGTACTTTAGATTATCGATCCATGGAGTAATCCTAGATGTGCCGCATGGTTAGTATGCGTGCAATATATGAGACAATTAAAGGGAAAGAAAGAACAATTACAGCATACCCATATGATATGGCAAACGACATGGTGTTGCGGATGAGAATCATGGTAGTGATGGCCTGGCCGCTCACTTTGTGGTAGCTGTCGACCATGTAGTTGACGCTCAGCGTGACACCGCAGGCACTGCAGAAGGAGAGCAGCCACATGGCGAAAATCAATCCGAACCAATGCACATGATGCGATGCGCCCACTCCCCAGAGGATGAGAGACGCAGGAACGAAGAAGACACACAGCAGGAAAGGGTACAGTCGGTGCTCAGCCTCCATGATACCGCCGTTCCGGCGCGCCAGGCGGACTGTGAGCCAGTCGCTGAAGAGACCGGTGAATATAGTCCTGTCGAATATTCGAACGTCAGGAGGTTACAAGTCTCTACTAGGGAATGGCAGATCGCAAACTTACGCGGCGACGACCCCGAGGCAGCAGGCTACATAACTCAATCCGACCATCGAAGTACTGGACAAGTAAATCAGAACATACCCTTCTCTACATGATCGAAGACTTACCTAAAGTTATATGGATTTGACCCAAGGATGATTGAAGCAGTGCCGTTGAGAACAGTAAACCAAATCAAATAGGAGCCGTATGAGAACCTGGGCAATCATGAGTATACACGTTGTTAGCGATATATATTGCAGATTCAGAATAAACATACCCAGCATAGAAAGTAACCGGCCACTGCAGAAAATATAGTGACTGCCATGCGCGGAGATGCATGGTGTTTGGCAGTCTCCTGTCGACGTTGAAAAGCGCCAGCTTCCGCCAGTAGGATTTTTTAACATAAGAGCGTTCTTGTCGGAGAGAAGTACACTCTGCACGACCTGCTTGGGATCCTGCCCTGGCCTCTGCGGCCTTCTTATTCGCAGAGTCGGAGTCTGCTGTCGCTTTCTCCTTGTCCGAAGGGTCAGCGCATTTTCCCGGCGAGAGCTCGATTGGAGCGACGCCGATGGTGGGTCGCGAATAGTTGGTTTCTTCCATGAAGAAGAACAGAAACAGAAACACGGCTCCCAAGAAGATGCTGGGGTAGTAGAAAACCCATTCCCAGGCTTGTCCGGCTGCGATAAAGCCACTCATGACCGGTGCAAAATAGTTGCTGCCCATGAGACAGAATGCATACAGTGCCATGTATGTCCCTCGCTCGTGGGTAAAATACTATGCACCGTTAGTTGCTACGGGGTTCGAAGACTCTGCGCTTCGTACACGTACCACATCGGTGACAGAAATTTCAGGCAGCGCCTCAATGGGGGCCGAGAAAAACCCGGAAAGGATGCATCGTGCAATCCATTGGCCGTTGGATTTGCAGTATGGTCTATACAGATGATCAGAAACCGATAGAATACATAAAAAGCACAGAAAAGAGAAATACCCCCACATAGTCATGGCCTAGAAAACCGTGGATCAGCAGATGTCTTGCTCAAATTCGACTATGAATAGCTTACTATGGTTCCTAGACATGAAATTAGATAGGTCGGCCTCTTGCCATAATGCAGAGCAAAGGGCTGCCAAAAGAGGAGCCCCCATCCGGCCAGCAGGAATATGTAGCCCGTTCCCTCGTTGAGAGTCGAGACTGACAGCCCGGTGGCATCGGACAGGGGCACAAGGACGGAGTAGACCACTGCCGATGTGAAGCCGCAGAAAATAGTGTATCTGACTGCGATTCAGCAAGAAACAGCATGATATATCTAGGGACATATGTGTGTGTGTAGAGAGGGATATGGCGGAGAAGCAACTAACAGGCTCATACACACGGTAGACAGGAGCTTGCGCCTTCGAGACCAATTCAACGGGTCATCAACATCGTCCGATGGCGTTGGGACCAGGATGATGTCGGTATTTTCCCCGGAATGGCGCGTACGCACGACGTGCTCCACATCGACTAACGCTACGGTGCCGGGGATGATGCTGCGGTCGATATGGTGCTCCATGATATTAATAAATCTGAGACGGAAGATGGATCAAACGGCACTTTGAGGGAGAGAAACCCATAAAACACAGTTAAAATTGAGCTTCCAAACAAGACACGGAGCAGCAGCAGGAGGCGAGAGTTTAACTACTCGAGTCGAAACAGCATTCAACAAACTTCCTTATCTCTTTGCTAAATGCTTACGATGAGACGCTAGGCTGAAATACTTCTAGCCTGGACTGATACCCACTGATCGGGGTTTTTTGCTGGGACCCGATCAACCGTCGGCTATTGCATGAAGGATGCAATTGCATATTGCATCTGCGTATGGGTGCGGAATGGCTGGAAACCGCTTGATCCCAACGGCTCACGTATGCGTGTGGCCTGGGTGATAAGAATGTCATCATGCCCCAGATATGCCGGCGATAGAACTCTGTGACTCTATACACACAATGGCAAATTCCACCGCCTCCGCAGCCGCCTCCTGGCAGACAATTGCTCACGTATGTCGTTTTCTGAGCAACTTCAGTTGGGACAAGAAACAAGCTGACAAATAAGACATATCAAACAAAGCGAGACTCGTTAATCCCGAGTCGGTGGAGGCTGCCAGCTGAGCTTCTCGCGTCTCTCCCGACAAACGTAACGGGGATCCCGCCTCAATTCCTGACAGCTCGTGAGGTCGAGTTAACAGGATTGACTGCCTCGGAGCTGGCACGGAAGATTGCAGCTCGCCAAGTAACCGCGCGCGAAGTCACCGTCGCCTTCTGCCACCGCGCAGCGATTGCGCATCAACTTGTCAACTGCCTCACCGAGATATTCTTCGATTCTGCCATCGCGCGTGCCGAGGAGCTTGATCGGATCTTAGCAAAGACGGGCAAGGTCCTTGGCCCACTTCACGGAGTGCCAATCTCGATCAAGGACCATTTCAATATCGAGGGCCTGGAGACCACTGGCGGCTATGTTTCCTATGCAAACCATGGCCCCGTCAAGAAGGATGCCCTTGCCGTAGAGATCCTCCGTAATGCTGGCGCAGTGCTGTACGTCAAAACTAACAATCCCCAGTGTATGATGGTGCTGGAGACTGTCTCCAACATATACGGAAGAACTTTGAATCCACGCAACACAACGCTTGGAGCCGGGGGTTCGAGCGGTGGTGAAGGAGCACTACTTGCCCTTCGAGGCTCTCCGTTGGGACTTGGCTCGGACGTTGGTTAGTGGAAAATCTTTATATATCTCTCTCTCTGGTGCTTTTTGATATGTTGACTTTTCCTATTCTTTGTTCCTAGGCGGCTCGATTCGCGTGCCAGCAGCATTCAATGGCCTATATGGTTTCAAACCATCAGGAAGACGCGTTCCAACTTCCGGTTGGGAATGTGAAAACATGGGCCAGGAATCAATCATAGCGGTCTCTGGGCCCCTGGGTCGTAGTATCGAAGATTTGAATCTTTTCTTTCAGGTAACATCTGATGCCAAGCCCTGGTTGTACGAGCCACTCCTCGAGGTCCCGTGGAAAACAGACGAGCAGCTCAATTTCAACCCACGTCGTCTGACAATAGGCCTGATGCTCTGGGACGAAGTGGTGATGCCACATCCGTATTTGACGCGGATTTTGAAAGCAGTCGCGGCAAAACTGCAGGCCGCAGGCCATGAAGGTAAGCGATCCCTTCGCGAATTTTGTAGGATTGAAAGCTAACGCAAACAAAGTGGCTAACTTCAAACCGTATGACCATGGGCGAGCGTGGTCTGACATATTACTTCCGTTGTACTTCACAGACGGCGGAGAGAACATTAGAAAGACATTGCAAGCCAGTGGAGAGCCCATGCTACCCTCAGCGAAGCATCTCATGGATGACCCGATTGTGAAGCCATTAGAGATACACGAACTGTGGAAGGTATGTTTTTGTTCCTATTCATTTGGGATCCTTGAATCCAAAATCAAGCCTCTAGTCTAAACAGTTTCTCAGCATCATGTTGCTCGCGATAACTACCGAACAGAATACTTGGAACATTGGAACTCCACGGCCAGAACGACGACAAGCGGAAAGCCCATCGATGTTATTATATGCGCCCCAAGCTGCGTCCAGGGCACTCCGCATGATGTTCGTCCTTGGTGGGGTTACTGCAGTCAATGGAACTTGCTGGACTATCCCTGCGGTATTATCCCGGCGGGCACAGCTGAAGCCGACGATCAATATCCCGATAACTACAAGCCCGTAAATGCCCTCGATGAGGGTAATTTTAGACTTTGTGAGCAGCACAGGAAGAAGCCTCTAAAGCAGTACAGCAGTAAGCTAATACAACTTTACTACAGATGACAGCAATCTTTACGCTGGAATGCCAGTGACCATTCAGGTTGTGGGCCGAACTTTGCAGGACGAGAAAGTGATGAAGGCCATGGAAATCATTGATCAGGTTATTAATCGCAAGGAGAAGCCTTCCTCTCGACTGTAGTTTACTTGTAGGCCATAGTTTGGAATGACAATATAATTTTTTTCAACGTGTAGTGGCACTTGCAACCTGACAACATACCATTCTATGCCTCTGCTCGGAATTATATAACAGATAACCTCAGTATATTACCGGTAAGCAAGAACAGACTCTTCATCTATAGACCGACGTAGAAATATTGGGTATCGTTCCAAACAGGGGGTGGGCAAAGATGGCCTCAAGGCCAGACACGTAATATCCGCATAGTGCACAAACTCTAAGTATTGGATTTGATAGCATTATAAATTACTAAATCACATGAGATAACCTATCATTCCAGGATTATAACGCGGTGAGAGAACAACACTCTTTTCACCAGTCAGATCTCAGCCCGGTTACCGGTTTTCCATAAGTCTTGCCGGTGCATTGCCGGTGTGCGTGTGTCGGCGCTCCGAAAATACAGTCATGCAGATAAATATTTCGAGAAAAAAGCATATCCACGCGAGATACTAACAGCAGATATACCTACCCATGATTTTGTCTGTTTGTCGTGACCTCAGCGCGAAGAGTAGGGGACAAAACACCACGATCGACTGCCTTAGCGTTCAAGCGTTCCTCCAGGGTGTCGCACACAAAGCCGCGGGCATCATGGACATACTAGGATTTAAAACGTGGGTTGGATTGGGGATTTTGGCCATGACATCTGCCTACTGGGGCTATTCATATTACACATCCATTGCCAATAGGCGTGTAAGTCTCGATAAACCTCCATTTGCACATCTTTGTAAACGAGAAAAGAGACGAAGATTAACGGTTTTGTTTCCCAAGGACTCCGAAAAAGTCGTACCTACTCAGAATACACCCAAAGCCTTCAAATATGAGCCTGCATATGACTTTGACTGGAGGAAAACCAAGCCAGAACAATTCCGGCCCTTTAAACCTAAATATCATCTGACAATGGGTGAGTGTGAAGAGATTCGTCCGGTGCAAGAGTTATTGACATGTTTTTCAGCAATCGAAAATCTTGATCCTAATCACCTGATCTTGTTCGATGATACATACGAGACCCGACTGGAAATCCGTAGAGCGTTGCTCAAGGAACACAACCAACAGGTGGTCGGTATTACAGATGAGAACGACGCACGTCTCACTGCTACAATCAAGGAGCTCTACACCGCGATCATGGTGGAATATCTCCCGAGTCGGTATCCAACAATCTTCAAAATGACAACTTGTACAATGAGCCCATCAAGCTCGATTCGGAACCTTGTTACTGGCGAAGTCTATCCTGCGAAATTAGCCGAATTCGCACCAGTGAGACAAGCACTTGAGCTTCTTGCGAAGAACGTCGATGAAGATTTTTTCATTCTCCTTCCCAGATCACACTCGGAAAGCTCGAATACAGAAGAGGATAAACAGACGACATACATTCTCCATGCATATGCTGCCTGTTTCCCTTCGGGATTCCAACCGGCGCACAAGATAGGAAAGAGTCTGTCATCGATCCATGGTCCGCTCCCTGGATACAAAGAAAAGCTGGAGAAGAGTATGGATCGGTTTTTCAGAAAGCTTCCTGTGGGAAAGTACGTTAAAAGGGTAAACTGGAGCATTACCGTGGATGAAGGACTGTATTCAAACTTCGACAAGAGCGGCTTTGCCATGTCCAGGAAAGCAACGGGAATGACGATGGATGATCTTGACTTGAACAGGGTATGTCGCTTTACTTTGGAAGTATGAAACTTCGCTTCGATATTAATGTTTTAACAGTCATTCCTTCGCTGCGAGCGCCAAACACTCCACCGACTCCCACAGTCCAAGGCGATCATCTTTGCCTTCCACACGTACCAGTATCCGCTCCAGCAGATCAAAGCAGAGGGACTTGGGGAACAGTTAGCTATCGCTGTGGACGGCCTGAAACTGGGAAATGCACCAGAGATATACACGTATAAGAACGCTCCGAAATGGGCGGAGGCTGTCAAGCAGTATATGAGAAGCTGAAAGGAAATTGACTCATTGGTTTGCAATATACGCACATCACGTCCCTTGCATCGTATATGTCAATGTTCTACCTTAGATAACACATGTCTCTACACTCAATATCATATCATAACAGGGGCGCAATTTTGAGCTTCCTAGGATGTCCGAGAACTCAGATACCCTTGACACATTCGGGGCTGATGATTCCGACGTCTGTATCTATATGACTACGTATATGGTGGGCGGCTTGTTTCAGAAATTATGAGGATTTCTGTTTTACCAGCCACATGGTGCTTAGCATAATTTAGCTATGCAACATCCATGGATGTTGGTTGTTACCTAGGTACTTGAGCAGGGATAGTCGTTTTCCCGCCTGTGTGATGGCAGGCTTGGAAGGTCTTTATATAAAACCAAACAGCGTCGAAGATAAGTATGACGCGGACGTAGGCTACCTTTAGAGGTGGAATGGATTGGAAGAAAGAATTATATCCTGTTACCACCAATATGTTTGAACGTTATTGCTCTCATTGATCAATGAAATTTTCGCGATGGAATAGATGCTCACAAAATATAATCGTACCTCGTCATCCTGTCCTACTACTCTGCAAAAACTTACAAAATCTACTGCGTTTAAAACAGAATCAGTATTCATTAGACTTGGGTCTACTAGAGTAATGTCGATTTTAGAGTGGTTCTCGTTGACAGGGTTTACGCGTTGGAACTCCACTCCACGTTTCATGTCTGCAATTGAATATAATGGCATGCTGTATACATTGTGATAAATGGAAAAATTATTACTACGTATGGCTTCATCATATTATAATTGGCGGATTATCTTAATTATGGTACATCCCTGTATGACCATATATGTAGGTTCACAATAACGCCCGAATTCTTCATGTTAGTCCACAAATCAAAATTGAGTACATAACTACATGGAGCAAACGCCCTGAAACATCCTATAGTATAACAGTCTAGCAGCTGCGAAAGCGGAGTATCAGTCTCGTATAGCACTTTATATGTAGTTAACTCGGATATTGACCTCTTAGGGTTAAAGCATCCTTCCTTGATCTGGGCCAGCTCCCTTGAAGCTGACCCCTGAGAGATTCTCCGTCTTCTACTATCGCAACCTCGTTTTTGCACAATTTATTCGCCACCAATCGAAGTATAGTTTCGTTCTCGGGATACAAGGGGCATCGCAGCCTTAGGTTGCCTCACGTGTATCGGATCATGATATATAAGCTAGACATGCCACCGTCGGACACAACTGAACTACAGAAATATCTCACTTGATATCACACTGAGCCTACTCTGCTACAAGGTCATCAGACACAATGGTTAAACTCTTTGAACACGCTGTCCTCGCTGCTCTCGCTGCTTGCGCCATGGCGAAGCATATTGCCGAGCCTGCCGTAACAGCACCACCGTCACTTCAGAAAAGAGCAACAAGCTGCACATTCTCAGGGTCGCAAGGCGCATCTTCGGCTAGTGTCTCACAGAAATCATGCTCTACGATCATCTTATCCGATGTCGCTGTGCCCTCTGGTGTAACGCTGGATCTTAGTGATCTGCCAGATGAAACAACCGTGAGAAGTCGCACGGATCTCATAGCTAGCAGGAAGATATGCTAACATAGATGATAGGTCATCTTCGAGGGAGAAACAACCTGGGGTTATGAAGAGTGGGATGGTCCTCTGCTTCAAATATCCGGTACAGGTATTACGATCGAAGGCGCTTCCGGGGCATACCTGAATGGAAACGGGGCCCTGTGGTGGGATGGGGAGGGTAGCAATGGAGGAAAGACAAAGCCCAAGTTCTTCTATGCCCATGATTTAACAGACTCTACAATCACGAATCTTCACATCCAGAACACCCCCGTTCAGGCTGTGAGCATTGACAACGCCGATGGTCTGACGATCACAGACATGACTATCGACGATTCAGATGGTGACAGCGAGGGTGGTGCGAATACCGATGGCTTCGATATCGGCTCCAGCACTAATGTTATTATCACTGGTGCCAATGTATATAACCAGGACGACTGCATTGCAATCAATTCTGGTACGGAAATTACCGTTGAAAACAGTGTTTGCTCCGGAGGACATGGCTTGTCTATTGGCAGTGTCGGTGGCCGCGACGACAACACTGTAGATACAGTTACCTTCAATAACAATGAAGTCAAGAGCTCTGTCAATGGTAAGGCCACATCTAGCAATCTATCAAACCAGGGCTTATTCCTCATGTTGCTCAATACAGGCATTCGCATCAAAGCCACAGAAGGGGATACCGGGTCTATCAAGGGTGTAACCTACTCCGAGATTACTCTCGAAGATATTTCCAAGTATGTCATTTCTCCCTCGAGTCGGTAGATTCAATGTTGGGTCGGTTCAAGAACTAAGCCTTGTTTCAATCAGATACGGAATCCTCATTGAACAAAACTATGACGGCGGTGATCTTAAAGGAGATCCGACATCAGGCATCCCGATCACTGACTTGACTATCGAAAACATTTCCGGAACGGATGCAGTAGATTCCGATGGATACAATATTGTCATTGTCTGCGGTTCCGACGCCTGTTCTGATTGGACGTGGAGTGATGTTAACATTAGCGGTGGGAAAACTTATAGTGACTGTGAGAATGCTCCTAGTAGTGCTAGCTGCTCATAGCGAGTCTGGCTCTGTGAACCAGCCGGGGTTTCGATCTTTGCTTAAACGTTGTAAAACTCGATGGTCGTCAGAAATATAGCATTGAATACCAGGTTATCAGCTCGGTTAATAATTGTTTACAATTATCGTATGTTACTTTCAGCTCTGGCTAGACTTGGTATCACATTCGCATTTTAAGACCATGTCTCTAGTAGCATATAGGCTGTCTACGTGATATAACATGTCTCTATACTGTACAATGTAGGGAAACTTTATTTTTTGGTGGGCCTATTACTTGTACTCGTGATGTGAGTGGTTGGTTCGTATACTGATGTTGACGCTAGGTAGACGTTTTGATATATTATTCCATTGAAGTTTCGTGCTCTATTCTATGCTAGGGCTACCTAGGAAGACCTCTTAGTATTGTATGTCCTACACCATCGAATTTCTATTCTCATGTTTTCTACTTGAGCTCCGATAGGAACTTGTTAGCATGTGCATGGATCGATCACATAGCAAATATGTGCAAGGACAGGCTGTTAGAAGCGGCAGTCCGTCTCCGCTTTTTGACACTGCCTATCAGTAATTAATCATCAAAAGATGCTTGATTTCAGCTAAGCAATTGGGGGCTGAAAATATTTACTTACCGATCCACTAAGATCACATATTAATTAGACACTTGATCCACCAAAATCGCTTAGTGAGTAGATAATTTATTGGAGGCATACGAAATACCACCTCAATTACTACCATTGTGAAGAATATTATATCCCATAAAGCCTAATGTGTGGATTCATCATACCTAGATAGACTATGCGTAGGACCTATGTTGAGTAAAGTTCTTCTCGGAAATTCCATGAGAGTTATCATATCATGCTTTAGATCCAAGAGAATAGGGAAATTTTGCCATTACGGTCTCTAGTAGGAAACACACAATAGTATAGGCAGTTATAGTCTAGGATTAATTGCTACATTTGGATGCTGTAATTGATCCTTGAACTCTCTTCGCAGCCCTAGTGGCCATGACTTCTTGTATTCCTGTTTAAACACACTAAGACAACTCGAGAGTGTCGAGTAGCTTCCCAAGATGTTTTATATTCGCCCTGCTTATGGTGCCCAGACGATATCAGCGCCAATTGTGGTGTCGTCTTCGCTGCGTGCCCAGACGATGTCGGCGCCAATTGCGGTGTCGTCTTCGCTGCGTGCCCAGACGATGTCAGCACCGATTGCGGTGTCGTCCTCACCGCGGGCCATTTTTTCTGTGAAGGGGCCCAGTTAGATGTGTAGTCCTGCTGATTCTTCCTTTTGATAACTAACCAGGTGTGGGCAAAGCAAAAGCGAGACCCAGGAGAGCAGAGAGAACGATTGTTGTCTTCATGTTGTGCGACGTGTTTTGGTACAAGTGATTTTTTGGACAACGATAGCCAGGTTTGATGATTGAGAAAAAGAATGATAGATGTCAGACCTGGGTATTCAACTTTATTAATACACCACCGAGGTGAAGGTGCATGGCGAAGATAAATACTTATACAACTACTATTAATTTCCGTCACATTCGTACATGCCGCGTAACCTTTGCTAGTGGTATGGGGATGCTTTCAAGTTCCTTCAGGTAGCACCATCGAACTGAACAGCTAGTGCTTCTAGATAGTTCTGTTGTGCTTTATTGATACAGAACGATGCTGAATTGGCAAGTCCATGGCTAGTTGTAAAAGGTTGACTCTCTTCATATTATCTACATATTAAGCAGCTCGCCTGAATGCACCGCGAGTGTTCAAAACATATCAGTACCTATATGTGATTACCATGCTAAAAATATTAATAATCCTAACTCTAGCCCTAACTGCAAACCCTACCCCTCCGCTTCCAGACAGTATCAATATCTTAACAAGCTAAGAACGAATTATCGCTTTACTCGACGCTCTATACTAGTCATCATGTAATCCACTACCAACATTGAATCCTATAGACCAAGCCAATTGGCCACAAATGCCTCACTATAGTTACGTGTCTTTTACTTGCCCGATTGTTGGGTTCTAAAGACCTGAAATGGCTCCTTGTGGCACCTTTTTTCTACTAGAATCCACTACCATGAAGATTAGTTAGTATTCTTATTACTAGTTCATACAACGCTTGAAATCCGTGGTTAAATCTTAATTAATCAAAGAGCATGTAAGATCCTAATCTTATTTAGACACCTACCTAACATGGTTAAGCAGTCAATCCTGCATTAGCTACGTAGCATTCATGAGTTCTTAAGCCGGTAGAATTATTGAAAAATTACTTCACCTGTCGTATTCTGTCCAAGTTCTTTTTTCTTTCCCAACCAAAACATGCACGATGCTCCCGTGTCTCGCCTTATGTGCCAGTCTACGACATCTGTATACCACCCTTCTGTTAGGACTTCTCCATTCCTAGAAGCCTTCTAAAAATCATGTAGACCGTATGATTTGAAATGAAGGCCAAATGTATACGAATCCACGGTGAAGACATAGGGGGCCCGCAACGCGTAGAAAAGCACACAGACCTATACACTAGTTACTCGCTAACAACACATAGGACTCGGCGTGTTTGGGGGAAAGGAAGATCTTAACTTGAAATACCCAAGGCAACAATACTAAAGGTGATTTAAACCAATATACAATGCTTTATCTATGAGACGTCACGGCATTCCTTCGCGATGTGATTTCTCTAACATTTCAAAATTATATCAGAAATCGGGCTCGCAAGTACTTATAGGCCCGAAAACCAATAATGGTCAGTTTTAAGATTTAGAACCGATGATTTAGGTTGGAGTAACATACCTAGGTGTAAGCTGGAAGTTCAGATTTTAAGTAATTCAATATTAAAATATTAGTCTACTCGTAGAAGAAGCAGCGGGTGTGAGGACGTCAAGTACGCATAGTGAGATCCGTCATTGAACAGCGATTCAATGATATTCTGCTAGCACACTATGACAGTTGTCTAGGGGAAAAGCGAAGAGGACGTAATTATATCCCTAACATAATATGCTATTGCACATGGCACTTATAAACTCTAGGTAGGGTTATATGATATTAGCCCTACCTCGGGTTGATTCACTTCATATGAGCCAATAAAGCACTTACACGAGGGACAAACTCCTGTGCCATGACCTCACTCCTTCGGCTGATCTACATGGGTGAAAAGCACTCAACAATACGCTGGTTCGGCCTGGATACTCATTGCTTCACATTATTCTGCTTTAGCTTTTACCTCACTGGTTGAGAGTTGCGTAGCTCTAAAGTACTCCGTTGCTTGTCTAATATAGTTAGAAGGTGCTCGTTGATCCTGACATAATTTTATGGATATATCATATGCATATATGCCCACAACCAGAGATAGAGTGACACACTCTTGCCAGTCTTCATGCAGCCAACAACGTAAGCGCTACGATATGAGCTTCCTGAGGCTGTGTGGCTGCAACCGTGTGGCCGGCGAAGACGAGCCGTCGGTGCCGCCCCGACTGGAGAGTAACAGGCTTGAAAAGACACAAACCTGGTCATCATCACCACCTGTTCCAAGAGAGAAACAGCACGTGCCTTAGAAGGGGGATAAAACTTCCCCGACCGTTTCAAACGGAGAAATGACTACGTTGTCTACCGCGTCACACAGTCTTGCGGAAAGGCCTTGGGACCAAGCCTATAACAACCTCCGAGGTGGGCAGGAATCCAAATTGGTACAAGAATACGAAAAATTGATTTCCCTTGATCTCAAGAAGGGTGATCATAAATCCGTAATAACGGCGCCGTCGTTGGAAGGAGTCGAAAATCGAATTGAGCAGGACGACCCAGAGAAGCGGCGATCACAGATGAGAGGTATCGTCAAAATCGGACTTCAGAAAACAGAGAAACAAGCTGAGTCAAAGCGCGTGATGGGAGCCATTCTGGGTGGTGTCAACTCCGTGAGAGATATCATAAGTGCAGCGATATATTCTTCGCCTCAGGCTGTGATTCCTTGGGCTGTAGTCACGACTGCTTTGAAGGTAAGTTGCACAACACAATCTTAGGCAATCTTATTAATTTTAATAAAGCTTCTAAACAACCCTGTGGCAGAGTCTGCCGCCAATCGTAGAGGAAGGATGGACTGGTCGGCAAAGCGATCATTCTGTAAAACGCAACGAAGGTACCGGATTATGGCTGATAGAGTCAGATGAATTTCAGGCATGGCTACAGCAAAGGGGAAAGGCTCTTTTCTACTATGGGATTCCTGGTGCTGGTAAAACTATTCTAACATCCGTCGTCGTGGAGGAAATCGGCACAAGATACTACACTGATAACACTGTTGGAATTGCCTATGTGTATTGCGAGTTCAATCAACAAGGCAGCTTGAAACCCGTCGATTTATTCCTGAGTGCGCTCAAACAGTTGACCGAAGGGCTTCATTTCATTCCTCCCGACTTAGAAGAGCTTTACATTCGGCGCAGAAACGAGCGACCGACCTTTGCTGATGTCTTGCAGGTACTAAGATCAACCATCAACCAATATTCGAGAGTTTTTGTTTTCATTGATGCCCTGGACGAATCTCCAGTCGCCTAACAGGAGAGACTTTGGTTGTCTGGGTTCTTTCCAAATCTATTAAATTGCAGGATGAGTGCGGAGTGAACATCTTTGCGACATCACGAGAAATTCCAGAAATCATGGAAACATTTAGCAGAAAAGAATGCACGGCCTTACAGATACGAGCTAGTGACGAAGATATTCGGTTATTCTTGGATAGCTAGATGAGAAGCTTACACCCAATCGTCCTGTCACGTCCTATTCTGCAGGAAGACATCAAGACTCGCATCGTTGAAGCAGCGAATGGGATGTATGTATCTATGTATTTTGTTGGCTGTAAACATTATATAAAAGAGGTACGACTGATACACCGACTTTAGGTTTCTGCTTGCTAACCTTCACTTGGATTCTTTGAAAGGACTAGGCTCTGCTGGAATTGAATATATCAGCTCCGTCGTTGCCGGGTTGTTTACGCTTGATGGGAGCAGTAATCAAGTGCGCCTGGTCCATTATACGACTTACGATTACTTGAAACGCACTCTGCCCTGTTGGTATCCTCTTGGTAACATGGAAATTGCGAGGAGTTGCGTTATACATTTTTCATTCGATACATTTGGAACTGGTCCTTGTCCTGATTCCAAAGGCCTCGAGGAGCGATTGCGCCGGAATGATCTGTATTACTACGCTGCAAATAATTGGGGATATCATGTCAGCTCGTCCAATATTGATGGAGAAGATTTGCTTGTGAAGTTTCTGGCCACCGAAGCCAAGGTATCAGCCTGTATTCAAGCTATGAAACCACGCTTATCTACCCCGAATCAAAATGAAGAGACCCCGACAGACGTGATAGGCCTACACCTCGCAGCGTACTATGGACTAGTTAAAACTATACATGGTTTCATTAATGAGTTGCCAGACATTGATCTTGAGACCAAGGGGGACTTCAATCGGACGCCACTTTTAGTGGGCGCAGAGATGGTGAATCAACTGCTAGACAAAGGAGCCAACCCAAATTCTGCTGACTGCGACTTCGGCTGGACAGCTTTAACGAAAGCGAGTGAAATCAGAGACGCAGAGGTGGTCAAGGTACTGTTAGATCATAAAGGTGTTAATATCGAGGCCTATGACGCCTATCTCGCTGCAACTGCTCTTTTAATAGCTGTAAGTGGCGGGCACGAGATAAGCAAACTTCTGCTGGAAAGCGGCGCCAATTCGCAGGCCGAGAATAATTTTGGTGAAACATTACTTGACGTGGCTGCGCAGAATGGGCATTTACAAATAGTGAAGCAGACGCTGGACAAGTTTGCAAACTAGTCGCAGTCTGCTCTCTTACTGTTTATCTGTAGAAGCGATATGTAATGCAGTCGTCTACAGAACGGACATGTGAGATATTTCGGCATGCCTTCATGCTATGTGTTAGTAACTGGTACCTCCCTGAAAATCTTCCAGAGTGAGAGTATCTTATAGAACACTTAGAAATCCAAGTTAGCTCTGTAATCCAAGCTTTTCTTCAGCCAAGTTGCGATTATGAATTCATCTGACAGAAGTTAGCATGTGTATACAGAGACGATACTTTCCAAGCATAAGCACTGACTGAAACATGACCAGTAAAGTGAGGAGATTCCTAACTGTAGTCGAATGCCCAGCTAATCTGAATCTCGCATCTTACATTGCCCTTGATCTAAACCTTCCCAGATGCCTACTCCCGCCCGCATCCGCATCCGCACCCGCATCCGCAAATTCGGATTTCTGTATAAATCGAACGCCTAGGATGTGGATAAACAATATAAATACACCAAAGACCCTTTATTGATAAGTATAATGCCTAATTATTGTATACAAGTAACAATCTCTCCTTGTCGACAGTACACAGTGAACTCGCCCTTCAATCACAAAAATGCCTGCAATCAGTAGTCCTGCCCCGTCTGCGGTGATTTTAGTAACTGGTGCAAACGGGTTTCTCGGATCGTGGATAGTACGTCTATTGCTTGAAAAGGGATATTCTGTTCGCGCAGCGGTACGAAACTCAAAGAAAGGTAACTATCTCAAAGATCAATTCAAGTCCTACGGCGACAAGTTTGAGATTGCTGTGGTCGGGGACATTGGCAAAGATGATGCCTTTGTTCAATCAGTTCAAGGGGTCCACGGAATAATTCATACGGCATCACCAGTCTCAACGATCGTTGATGATCCGAGAGGTATGTGTTTGCTCTGTATTCTGCCCGTCTGAAACGGCAGACCAGGAAAGAAAAGAAACTAATGCATATGCCCGAAGAAATAATTGACCCGGCAGTGAGCGGCACGCTAGCAATTCTGCAGAGTGCGTTGAAATATGGGTAAATTTGCTTTCCTACAAAGACGAGAAAGTTACGACTAACTCCATAGATCGAACATTCAGCGCGTGGTATTGACCTCCTCCTGCGCCGCAATTCTAGATACGGCGGATGAGGAGGTTACTGTCTCTGAAGAAGTCTGGAACGAACAACGCCTTGAGGAGTGCAATAAGTTGGGTAAAGAGGCCAGTGGCTTAGCCAAATACTCTACATCCAAACTTTTGGCAGAAAGAGGTTCGTCTTCATGCCTGGGCCTTGACGGATGGAAATGTTTCAGTAACGTGTTATTCTCTTAGCTGCTTGGGATTTTATGCAAAGCAACAAAGAGAGAATAAGCTGGGACCTAACGACTATCAACCCTCCATGGATTTTCGGGGTTAGTTGTGTCCCATTCCCGTCTTGTTCGCGCTTGCAGCTAACAGAACAAGCCTATTATCCACGAGGTCGATAATCCAGCCTCGCTTACATCCTCGAGTAGACGGTTCTGGGATGCTGTTGTAAATAACAATTTTTGGGGAGTCGCTCCGCTTGAACGCCCTGGCCATGGCTGGGTTGATGTACGAGACGTCGCTGAGGCGCATATCAAAGCACTAGAAACGTCTACTGCTGGTGGAGAACGAATTATTGTCACTGCCGGATCTTGGGTTTGGCAGGATATTAGTATGTGCAATTATGTTATGGGTTTCTTTTTTCTTTCTTTCCTCAGGCTAACCCTTTTCTAGTCAATACCGCCATCTCCTTGCCAAGTCATATCTATAAACGGCATCCTGCTGCTACTGGCCCGCTGGAAGTCAAGTCACGATTGATAAGTTGGGACACCAGGAAGCAAGAGAGAATTCTGGGGTTGAAATTTCGCTCCATGGAAGAACTTGTGCATGATACCCTTGCAAACTACTCTGAGCATGGCTGGTATTAGGACTTCTACTGCTCTTTTCCGTACACCGATGCCAGAAAAGAGGAAGCGAGACTACTAATTGTAGCCAAGCCAATTTGCACGATCCTTGTATTCAAATGTTCGTGGGTAAGAAGAATGCAATGAAGACTTTGCTCTCTCGTAAAGTCACCAACGCTCTTCCCATAATGTACGGAGCAGTTGAATCTTTACCTCGCATATTCCCGTGTCTGGATAAATCCTTTTAACAGCTATTCATTGTACGTTCAAAATATAAGTCAGAAAGTCAGAGCATAATGTGCACTCCGAAATCCGTCTCATGTTTTCATGTATTTCGTTTTGATTACTCTCCTAAGGTTCTTCAATGTCTCTTGCATACAGCCAAGTAATGCCCTGATTGGCTAATACTAAAAGCGGGAATGCGGCCGCTCCCGCTCGCAGCATGCCCCCACTCATGGCGGACCTAAGCCGGAGCTATGCCGGAGGTTGAACGACCCAAGTAAATAATCAATGCTTATTCTGTTCCAGTGCACAGCTATGTACGAGCACTAAGTAAGCAATTCTGATTTGGCTCGTGGCTGCACTACAGTAGTACCATTACGGTAGATTGCTGACTGAAACACGTCAAGTAGAGCTAGGCTGTTCGGATTTAACGGAGTCGACGCGGTATATATAAGCAGATCTTGGTCTCCTTAGTACGCTTGCAATCAGTTATTAATCTCGGCTACTTTAACCTCTTGAAAGACATTGTATTTCATCATGTACGGAAAATATATTGTACTCATTACTGGCGCAAACCGCGGAATTGGATACGGACTGGCAAAAAAGCTAGCAAGAGACCACCCTGACTATCATGTCATCATTGGAAGCCGCGACGCAAACCAAGGCATGGAAGCAGCGTCTTCACTCTCATCAGAAGGCATTACCGTATCCTCGTTAAGACTTGACGTCACTTCAGACGAGTCTATTTCCGCAGCCAGAAGCTTTGTACAGCAAAAGTACGGACGACTTGATGTACTCGTCAACAACGCTGGCGTTGCACTTGATCTGAAGGAGAAGGGCACCCCAATACGTGAGCTAATGCAGCGGACCTTTGATATCAATGTTTTCGGAGCAGCTGCTGTAACCGACGCCTTCATTCCGCTTCTTGAGAAGTCCAGCAATCCGCGACTCGTGTTCACTTCGTCATCGGTTGGGTCTCTTACCCGAGCTTCAGATCTTGCCAACCCTTGGTCCAAGGCACCTATCCCGGCGTACCGTACGAGCAAAGCCGCCTTAAATATGCTGATGCTATTTTATGCTTCTAGCTTGAATGAAAAGGGCTTCAAAGTTAACGCATCCTGCCCAGGGTACATCGGGACGAACTTGAATGACCATAGGGGAACAGGAAGCATAGAGGATGGTGCCGTGAATCTGGCTCGACTGGCAACTCTTGAGAAGAATGGAGAGACAGGAACGTTCTCAACAACCGAAGAAGTAAGGCCGTGGTAAGGGATGTCTTTGGCCGAGGATATATGACACGGTTACCCGAGCCACAGACGCGCTTATGTTTATTCACGAGCCGCACAGGCGATAGACAAGTCCAAGGCATAGGGAAAACCTCGATGCATGGCTCGATCTAGCTGACATGTTCTTTTCCAGCTTGAAACAGTAATCTGACATGTGAATTATACAGTGCGCATCAAAATTATCATAGTCAATCATATCACGTAAGGTTGCATTAAATTGTTGTGTAAAGTCCGACAGTTCTAAAAGGCCCCTTTCACCAATGGAATGACTTCATCCTCTGTTCCAAGCCCAGCCATCGGTCTAGTGGACTGATTCTTAAGAACTCCAAACATAACCTTCAGATCCTTGAGGTCCTCCGGCACATTCTCCCTCCCACCTAGACAGCCCTTGGCCGCTAATTCACCTAGACGGTCACTGCCCTGAGTAGTACACAACGTTTGAAACAACCCCCCTGTAGATGCTGAAATGCCGTTGCTAAGCAAAGCATGACCACCGCCAATGATAAATCCCAGGGACAAGATAATAGCCAGGCAATACGGAACAATCAAACGTGCCGGGTTGCTGAAGGAGTACACATTCACTGTAAACATCTCCGTGACCGGGATTTGTGAGGTCGTTTGGTTTAGTGTCAACATCGATATGACAATGTTCTGTAACAGTCCTTGCATGGAGTCTTGGGTGATGTTGAAAGTAGGCGATTTTGCTGGGCCAGAGTACAGATCAGACAAGGCGATGAGGGTATTCGCAGTTTGTTGAGCGTGCATTACTAATTTTCATCCCATTAGCAAAAATATGCCCGAGTGACCTAGCTAATATAATCACACTTACTCAAAGCATCTATATAGCCGGAAAATGCATCAACAAGTGTGTCCTGGATCGCGGCAAGATTGGCCCTTCTGTTAGTATCCATGACATTGCCACCGCCGCTTCCTGTCGAGGTGGCATTAACAAGGCCATCTTTCCCGCCATCCTGGGGATACATTCCATAGTCTGTGTAGAGATTCGAGCTGTTGAGCAACGGACCTGATTGAACGTCTGTCGTTGTTACGTATTGCTTGCCATTGCGATAGTCGATTTGGAACGAGTACACAGCCTCGTAAGCGGTGCAACTAAGATTCTGATATCCTGCACTAAGGCCTCCTGACGACCATGAAAGTTCGAAAACGAATTCTTTTTGGGAGTTTGTCAGAGCGTCATTGTCTGCGGATGCGGCATAGATATATTCGTAAGAACCTTTAGGTTGTTCATACGTCTCGTTGACCCAATTGAAAAGAGCCGGCGACACAGAATCGTTGCACTGGAAGCTCGGAGCAGTTATGTTAAGATTGTATGAACAATTCTGTCCACAAGGAGATGTCGAAGTTATATATGTTCCTGCAAGGATTGATTGCGTTGCCGCTCTTTTGACCACGTCTGTAGGTCCGCTGTATGTTTCGCACTCCTCTCGTCAGCTTTTTTTCATCTCTCTGTTGACAAAAAAGAATAATAGTAGGAAAAACCGACCCGTAAGCACCAAAATTATCGACTTGCCATAATGCCGCCGACAACATGCCGTTATATGTCCCATTTCCGATATAGTTAGCGTCGAAGATTGGAACAGACGTTTGGGAACGCCTGGTGAGCGTCTTGGGTTCGACCGTCAAGGCGCCTGGCGGAAAAACCATCGCGATGGGAAGACACCAGAACAAGACTGCGCATAGGAAGGGAATTGGGACGCGCCAGAACAAACCGATCCGGCCAAGTTGCAAGGGGTTTCCCAATACTGACAACAACTTATCAAGATCCCCCAGTTGCATTGGCCGCACTCGTAGTAGCTTCCATACTATTTGGACGAAGGAAATTCCCAGCGCAGCCGCAAGAAGCATTCGGAATCCATTGACGAAGACCAACGAAAGCGCGGTGACATACGGCTGTGTGATTGTTTCGTCAACGCGACGTTGATCTAGCCATCGAAACAGGCCCAGATGAGCGGTGGCTAGGGATATGGCTGGATAGCGCAGAGTCAGACACAGGCAACAAATGTGTTTATTTGCTTGATTTTTGATCTGCATACCAATCAAGAAACAGCTCAGAATTGCACTTGGCGTAACCCAGCCTATTGTCCAGCGCCAGTGCGAGTCTTCGACGAAGCTCGTATCGGAGGCGGGCAAGTCGAGGCTGGAGGAGAGAAGCTTTGTAGCACCGCCGTCTGTATTTGTATCGCCATGGTCATTATCACTTCCCTTTTCCTTTTCTTTTTCATTATTATTATTGTCGTTGTTGTTTGTATGATCCTCTTTGTTCAGGTCGAAATCAATATCAAATGCGTCTAGCTGATCCGCCAGCGTATACAGGTGTTGAGATGCCATTTTCCCCTCGTGAGTGTCAAAACACGCGCGCACTCCTAAGAGGCGTTCACCATCGTCGCAGGAAAATAAGCCGGAGCGAGGCTGGTCTTTATGATAGTGCTTACCTACGTGCCACTAATACTGTACAACGCGGCGCAGTCGCCCGCGGAATGTTGCACTAAGCGTTCAGCCGTCACTATTTACAGCGCTGCTAAGAGTCTAGGCGCATGGCACTAATGCTTGCGAGGAAATGGCGAAATTGCATTCATTTACCAAGTCCCACATAGCATGCTTTGTCTAGCCAGAGACCCATGCTTTGCAGCCTTGGAGGATTTATCCGTTATCAAGTTGCTTGATCTACATGTCACGAATCAGTCAGGCGCGAGGATCAGTACATTAAGGGATTTTGATAAGAGTTTGGGTAAGAGCCAATAGAAATATACTAGTTGAATCATCTGACTGACTAGTCAACTATGAAGCAAAGTCCGCGAACCCTACGAACCTTAGCTCATAGCCATGATTCTAGCCCATCGCATACCTCAGTGTGGACTGATCATAGGGTCTTTCATCAACCGTTGGAAACATTTATTGAGTCGTTTGTGCGCTCTTTGCCCAAATGCTCTTCCTCTCCAAATCTTTCGCTCTCTGCCGAGCTAGCGGTTTTTACAATACTAAAGCTGTTATTAGCATGTTCACCTTCTCGGTTACCACAGAGCAGTTGGCCATTGCTTCAGAAAGTATGATCACACTGGTACATTCTGCAGGTGTTGCTGCTTTTTGTGTGTTGTTTCTGAGTTGAGCCGTCATCACGAATGTGAGCCAAATCGTAGCGAGCCTTGAGCATCACGATATCTCTTAGCTCTACCCCTGCACCAGCTGCAACGCCACGGGTCTCTTCCAATCCAGAGGGCCAACAATGCTGGAGACCAGGAATATAGCATTCCTGGATAATTTTATACATCGTCTCGCTTTGCAGGATTAGAGAACCGGCAGCGCAAAATTCAAATATGGCCGACTTACGTGGGTAACAGCCTTCCACCTCCATAATAAGCAATATTGCATTTGATCTTCTCCCTTGTCTGCTCGCCATACGAGACTCCCCGGTCATAAGGTAAGCCATGTACATCCACGTGTTGATAGAAGGCGTTTGAAGGCATAATTCGATCAATGAGAGGATTATAGAAATTGGAAAAGCCTTGGATACGCTGTTGATATATATTGGCTTGTCATGCGAATTTCAGCTACATATGCTGATGTCCTCGGATACGTGAAATAACTTCACTGTGTCGGCTGTTTGACTATAGTCGAGGATTGACTTAGGTTAAGCGACAGAAGTAGTGAACTGTTAGTTATCTATGGATCCACTAGAAGTCGTTATTTTGCTACTAAGCGCTGAGTATCGACTTGCATGCTATCAAGATTAGACTGCGGAGATCTTGAAGATGACTCGCCTATTGAGCAAAGGTAAACCTGGATTTTCCTGGAAGTGTAACTTGACGTTGAAATTTTTGAAGCCAATGCGATAATGACTGTGGCCAGTTTTCATTATTTCTCTTCGTGCCGGCATATTATTTGAAGATAAATCTGGTCATCAAGGCTTCAATACTTCTAACAGTATCCTTGACACTCTCCCCAAGACTACGATATGTCCATCCTAAATCAGAATTGTCTGCCCTTCCTCCATCTAGCTATTGTCCCAGCTTCAGTGCATTTCCAATCGGTAGCATTTGTCGATAATGTCTATTATCTGTGCACTACAGAAGGTACCAGGGCATGTGCAGAGATGTTTATACTCAGCTTGAAGTTCCTCAACATCCAAGACACGAGCAAATGCAGCCCCTCGCACATCAAACCAGAAAAGAGTTTCCTGATGATATCCTACTTTTATATAGAGAGTCCTTCCTTTTCCAGAAAGCCCTGAGTTGTCCCGCACTAGTCCGCATTGGCCAAATGTATCGCAGTCTAGCCCTATTTGGCAGTTAATCAACGAGCTCGGTTGTACGTTCCTTTAGCGCTCACCGTCTTGTATGGAAATCAAGCAGCTATGATAGAATATAGGGTAATGCTGGATCCTGATTTCATCCGGCCTTGCTCTCGCTGAATTCAATCTGCTATCTTCTTCCAATCCCTCTGTTTTCGTCGCCTCTTAATTCACAATGTCAAACGACACTTCTACCATGCCACGTCCCAGAAATCATCCTTTTGACCCCCTGACACCGGGGGAGATCTCAAAGGTATGTCCCCCACGTAATCATGGTGTTTCTGTCTCATTGGCTGATTCTTCCCCAAGGCTGCTGCCATCGTTAGACCACTTTTCCCCGGTCAGAACCTCAACTTTCGCGTTATCACTCTCAAAGAGCCGCCCAAACATGAGATGATCCCGTATCTAGAGAAGGAGCACCGCAAACAACCTGTGGGCGCTCCTCCTGTCCGTGTCGCTAGGGTGCAGGTCATCTTATCTGGTGATACGGACTCGCAAAAGTTTGTCGAACTCTTTGTGGACCTGGATAAAAGTGCTGTGGTCAAACAACAGCATCTTGAGGGAAAACATCCGTACATTGATTCTGCATACATGAAGTCTGTAGAGAAAGCTTGCCTAGGCGATCTTCGTATACAGGCCGAGATTCGAAAGCTAGATTTGCCGCCGAGTGCTTCTGTCATTGTTGAGCCGTGGGCGTATGCCACAGATGGTTTGAATGATATGTCCCAGCGAATAACCATGGTAATACTTCCTTTCTTCCCATTTTTTGTGTCTCCCTCTGTGTGCGCGTTCCACTCCGCTAACTCAGCCTTGCAAGTGCTGGTTTTACATGCGACTCGTGGAAAGTGAAGATGCCAACTACTATGCGTATCCTCTAGATCTATGTGCAGAGGTGTCAGAGCAGCTTCAAGTGACCAAGATATATTATCTACCATCTGCCCAGAATGATGGTGTGCATGCTGAGACCCAGCCTTTTGATCGCCGCAGAATCCACTCTCTTAGTGATAGCGAGTATCACCCAGACTTGCGGCCGCCTACCCGCAAGAATTTGAAGCCATATCAGGTTGTGCAGCCTGAAGGGCCGTCATTCACAACGCAGGGTAACTTCTTACAGTGGGAGAAATGGACCATGCATATTGGCTTCAACTACAGAGAAGGCTTGACGCTACATGATATTTGCTACGACGGCCGCAGCCTCTTCTATCGCTTGTCACTCGCTGAGATGTTTGTCCCCTACGGTGACCCTCGTGCCCCTTTTCCCCGTAAGGCAGCGTTTGATCTCGGTAATGATGGCGCCGGTCTTAATGCAAACAACTTGCGCCTTGGCTGTGATTGCCTAGGCCTAATTAAATACTTCGACGGGTGGCATACCACGTCGTCTGGCGAGCCACTGAAGTTGCCAAATGTGATTTGCTGCCATGAACAGGATGACGGGATTCTATGGAAACATACCAACTTTCGTACAAACAATGCCGTCGTCACCCGATCACGCGTCCTAGTCCTCCAAACCATCATCACAGTGAGCAACTATGAATATATCTTCAACTTTCAATTTGGCCAGGATGCCTCAATCCACTATGAGGTTCGCGCGACGGGCATCCTTTCCACCGTCCCAATCAATCTTGGAGATAGGGTGCCGTGGGGCACTCTCGTCGCCCCTGGTGTGCTTGCGCCTTACCATCAGCATCTATTCAGTCTCCGGATTGACCCTGCCATCGACGGCCATTCAAACTCTCTCCAGGTAGAGGAATCCAAGCCGATGCCAGTGAATGATCCCTCAATCCACAATCCGTTCGGGGTCGGATATACCACAAATTCCCAGATAATCAGCGCAGAGGCTGGCTTAGATCTAGACTTCACGACAAACCGTACATTCAAGATCATCAACGAGAATGTTATCAACCCAATCACCGGAACGCCAGTTGGATTCAAGCTGCATCCGTTTTATAGCCAGATGCTCCTCTCACATCCGGGGTCTTACCATGCACGGCGATCTGAGTTTGGCAGTCACGCTGTATGGGTGACCCGTTATTCGGATGATGAGCTCTTCCCTGCTGGACAACATACCATGCAGTCAACTGGAGGCGATGGTATTGCCTCAGCCATTGAGGCGCGCCGGAATGAGGGCTCCGTCACAGTGCGCAACGCAGATATCGTCATTTGGCATACATTTGGCTCTACACATAATCCTCGAATTGAGGACTGGCCCGTCATGCCCTCTGAAAAGATGACGGTAGCCTTAAAGCCCGTCAATTTTTTCACTGGAAATCCAGGTCTTGACGTGCCGGTCTCCGCCCAGGATCACAATAAGAGCGTTTTAGTCGAGAACCACGACGAACAGGCTACTAGCGTTCCGTGCTGCAATAGGTTATAACGTTCGTGGTGGCCACAAACACAACTACTTCTTACTAGTAGAAGTAGAGTGCACGTCTATCAAAACCTTAGAAATGCTGTTAGGTCATATATATATATATATATATGTAGTGTCACCCACGGATGGTTATTAGAATGAGATGTAGCCTTATTTAGTCCAGCACACAGTTGGGCGAAATAAAACCAAGCATTTGACAAGCAATAAGACGCAAGGGCTCTCTATAAATACTAAACTGCCGCTGATAATTCTGGAAGTTCAGACTGTACAGCTGTGCAGCCCGCAGCGTTGTCTCTTGAAACTAGAGATAGAAAATTGGACGTGATTTTTAAACTCATTCTACTCTAGCATGCTATGCGTCGAATTATTGACATCTAGCTCATGCTAAAGATAATCAAAAGATATTCGAAAAAGAGATGTTTGTCTGCGGAGCGCAGCCTGCGTTCTATATATCTATGTCCACAATCGATTCTGTTGTCTTTGTACAGTCGCACCTCTATAATTGGCTTGACTTGGAGCCGTCTTCTATATCGTCATCAATACGGCAGACCCCTCTGAAAACTATAGAACATTGGCCTAACTTTTCTCGCCGAATCCATGCTCAGCCATATATTGCTTCAGTTCCTTGTCCTCTTTCTCCAGGTCGATATCTCCGCTTTCCGGCAGAAACCAATACACAATCATACCCAAAACAGCGACACCACCGACAAGATAGAAAGTGGATCTTTTCCCAGCAGCTTCCTCCAGTGGTGTAAAGCATTGAGTTCCAATAGCTGCTCCAGCTCGGCCAAAGGCAGTAGCGATGCTATAACCCATCCCCCTCATCGCGGTCGGGAAAGTTTCGGAACAGATCAAGCCAATGGTTGCGCCAGGGCCCATGTGGCCGAAAGCTTGCAGCAGGCCGTAGAGAACCACAAAGGCAGCAATATGCTCTGACAGTTTGGGGTATGTGCCTCCGATGATGAAGCCCAGAACCACATATCCGCCAAACCCAAGCATGCCAGTATAGCGTCGACCGAGGACATTTGTAAGCCAAGCACCAATTACCACGCCAGGCACGGGCAGAACGGCCAAAATGACTTGCCAGACGGCGGTCGTTTGTAAATTCCCATCTTTGACTAGAGAAGAGATGATAGTGCTGGACATGATGCTATTGGGGAAGTTGATAAAGTCATACAGGAAAAAAGCCAGTGATGTCGTGAATAGCCGGAACCAGTATCGGCGCACCAAAAGCCAATAGAACCGGAGTGGTTTCTTTTTCTGGGTTTTGAAATTGGAGTAATGATACAAGGTTGAATCAACCATGAAGAATCGTAGAATCATGACTATGGCCGGTATAACCGTTGCAATAGAGTAGATGGCATGGAAGGTAATAGTGAGATTGTTGTCGCTGGCTTTGAGACAGATCAGGTATATGATCATCAGGATAGGTGAAGCCAATGTGGCCATTAGTGTCGTGAAGGAAACAAAGATGGGTCCTCGGTAGCGAGGAATAAACTGTCATCAACTCGAGTGTTTAGCACATATGCCTATGAATATCTATGGTTCGAGTTGGCACTCTCTTACATCGTGGGATTCTTCTAAGCCAGCTGCTGCACTGGGGGGATATTCACCACCAACCCCAAAGCCACAAATACCGCGGACAATAACGAAGAACCACAGCATATTTGACCTGGGTACCTGCAGTGCTAGAGTAGCCACCAATGTTGCGATAGTGACCAGGAAAGAAGTGAAAAGTAGACCAGCGCGCCGCGACATCATATCAGCAACATAGCCAAAGGCGAGGATACCCAGAATAGCACCTATGAGCAGCGAGTTACTGATTCGCGTCTGCATGTCTGAAGGGTATCCTGAACGCCCAAGCAGCTTCTTGAAGATGACATTGGTAGGGTTCGCCAGTCCGTTCTGATACCCATCACTGAAATTGGCAATGTACTGATTTTGTGAGAATTCGCGAACAATTAGTTATTTATTGTTCTCGCACAGTGAAAAAACAGTGGCGACAACACAGCGCAAGATCAAAATTCCTTACACAGCTCACGAGGGTGACGTTGCTCTGCCATTTGGAGGGGCGATAAGCAGCATTGCTGGGCCCATTTTCAACCTCGCTATCTCTGGCTGCGGCTTCTTTAGAGTCGGGTTTTGTGGTCAGACCCGGAGGAAAGCTGGGACTCTCTGACATTTTCGCAGTAGTGAGAGTCGCAACGTGCAGGTATTTGTGCAACTTGGTGAAATTTGCGAAGTGTCATCTTTAAATGTACACGGTCAACCGAGGGGAAAAAATCACGATTGGCGCTGATTGGCTGCAGATACGCGTCGAATTCCCACATTCGGAGACTGATCTCCGCGGGTCTTTCGCTGTTTAGGGCTTGCTCTTAGGGCTTCTTCCTCTTGAAGAAACAGACCCCGTTCGTACCCTCCTAGGCTTATGCTCATTTTAATATAAACAAGACATAGTACATACTAATAATTTAATATCACAATGACACCCAGATCCCTGATAAGCTTTTGTTGGTAGCGCTCACAAGTCTCTTTATTTAGACTCTCTAGCGAGGCCTCTAGAATCGTTCCTAAACTTTCTGAATGCCCCTTACATTTGTATAACTGGAATATTAGTTATCCGTGAATATACTAAATTTGAACCTAGATCATGGATAGAAATCATTATCCTAGTCGTTGTGTACTATTACCAGATTTGGACATACTACTAGAAGCGGAAAAAAAATAGACCCACGAGAGGTATCCTAAGTATTGGTCGTATCTCCTAGATCACCCCTACAATGATTGGCCTTGATAGTACTTGATATTTCAATGTGTGAGTTCCTACAACGATATTTTCCATTTTGAATGCACAGGCATGTTGGTGCGCATTGATATCTGCACAAATGAATGGTCTACGCCTGCTTGTCTTGCTGTAGGGGTATCAGAAAAGAAGCTGTTACTGCGCAGATCCACTAGAGCTATCTCAGTTCTCCGCAGGGTTTTCTTCCTGAATTAGACAATTCAACCATGGTTCCTGCCAAGCTCCATTCAGTCCTTTTTTCCTCTAGTGAACTCAGGCTGAATAATTGTGGTTGGTCCACAGGTTTCAGGCATCTTGCGTTCTACTTATTGGCTCACTAGTTAAGTAAATCATTAGGCTACAGATCACCGCGTTTCTTATAAGTGCTTTTGTAATAGTAGTGACCTCCCGCTATGACGAAAGCTGTTAAAATTTTGGCCAATTTCATTCATTCGCCAGATAACTCACTTTTCGTTATGTATAGTAAAAAAACTGTCAGGATATAACGAAGATCGTATAGCTCCGTGCAGCTTAAGAGAATCGAGATGCTAAATCAGCCACAGAAAGGAACGAATGAGAGTCCTGGCTCTTTTTCTCTTCTTTAGACGGATTCAGGTTTGATAGCAAGCGAGAGGTTGAATATTGAATAACAGTAGAACAGGTCGTCGATGCACTGCACCACCGCGAGAAATTGCGATCGGAATTACTGCATCCGCAGGCAGGTTGCTTTTATATACACAATGAAGAACATTTCTGTTCTGTCAAACCAAATTTGTTATCTGAACTCTGCGTTAACCCTAATTTTCAAACTCTATTTGCATTTCAATAAGATTTCCAAACGCCGTAGTATTTAATTCCTATATTTCGTCTATCTCCCGTTGGCAAGTAATCCATCTGCTGTCTGCCTTCCCTTCATCATGCTGTCTATTCCAGCTCAATAGTGCCAGGAGGCTTGGAGGTGCTAGAAGGACGACGTCAGCTTGAGGCTTGATCAATGGGAGGCGAAGACTTCTACTTACAAATCATAGACAACACGGGACACGCCCTCTACCTGATTGCAAATGGTGCGCGCAACGTTCTGGGGTGACAGGTTAGCTAGCATAGAAATGGGTGATGGGACCATGCGACTTACCATGAGGAAGGAGTTGTCGAAGTTGAATACCTCTGCGCTCATGAAATCTTTGGAACGAACAGCGCGGAGGATCACGATGTAACCCCAAACACGCTGATCACCAAAAACACCAACACTACGATTAGTGTCGAGACCAGCAAACGCTTGAGATATCTGGTCGTAAAGACCGGCCTCCCTGATCATGCTGATGAAGATGTGGTCGGCCTGGCGGGCGATCTCTACTCGCTCCTTGGTAACATCGCCAAGGATGCGAATAGCAATACCAGGACCGGGGAAGGGATGTCTGTTTACTAGCGACTCATGTATGCCGAGTTGTCGACCAATGGCCTATAATATTTAGTATGATTGAAAGCAAAATTCACCCATTCAAGTTAAACATACCCTGACTTCATCTTTGAATAAGAGTCTAAGCGGCTCAATAAGCTATAGGATATGTACGTCAGCTCTCTGCGCATTGACAAAGCGATTGAAAGTGTACTTACACGCAATCCTTGCTAAAACGGGCCATGTAAGCGGAAGTTAATAAAATCAAACCCTACCAGGGTGGTGCAACTTACGCCCTTCATCATTCGCTACATAATAGTTAGTCAAGTTCCTTTCGTGCTAAGACCAGTGATAATGCTTACCTCAGGCAGACCGCCTACGTTGTGGTGAGCTGTGTCTAATGTCAGCTTCTGTCCGCTTCCTTTTTTGAACCATTCCCTGGGGGCAGTCTTCTGCTCCCGAGACTTCGTTGACTGGCTTACTCTTGATAGTGGCCGAAGGCCCGCGGAAGCTCAAAGATTCGATACTGTAATGCGATTAGTTTAGACCCAGTAGTTAGCTCAAACCGACTTACACATCAGGGTACAGTGTTCCCTGCAAAAACCATTCTACCTTCCCGGAGTTGGGGGTGTTCTCTGCTTCTTTCTCGATCTAGCGAGATCTGTTAGAAACAACATAGTCTGCATAGACTGTCATGAAAGGTTGGGCGTACCCTGATAGCCTCTTGCTCGAACAGATCAATAACTTTGGTGTCGTCAGTACTCCTGTTACTTAATCGTCCCGAAGAGTTTGAAGTACGTACAAGTCGACCCAATGATCTTCCTCTTCTTCTCAGGATCAGAAACACCCGCAAGACGACTCATGAACAGATCGCCTGCGTCAACAACTGTGAGATTGATGCCAAGGTGCTCCCCGATCGTCTCCTTGACCTCCTCGCACTCGTTCAAACGCATACATCCATTGTCGATGAGGATGGCTTTAAAGCGGTCACCGATGGCTTCACGCATTATTTTCGCACCTACAGTACTATCCACACCACCGCTGCAAGCCCCGAGAACAAGTGCTCGTTCACCAACGAGTTCCCGGATGCGAGCGATCTCAAGCTGGACGAAGTCACCCATTTTCCATTTAGGTTGAGCTCCACAGATATCAACGCTGAAGTTGCGGAGGAGCTCGCTTCCGCGAGGTGTCTATATCTATGTGTTAGATTGAGTTCTAGGATAATTCCCCGGGGGGACGAACGTGTTCAAGCTCAGGATGAAATTGGACGCCTAGTGATTGAGTTAGCATCTTTCCTTATGGTGCCACAAAGCTAGCTTGTGTGAGACAAACCAAAGATGGGCTTCTCCTCATGAGCGATACCGGCGTACTCTGAGTTCTTAGTGGCAGCAATGACCACAAAACCCTGTTGGCGTCAGTAAAAGTGGTGTTGTAGTAAGAACGGATTTCAGTCACCTTTGGCAGGTTAACTAGCTTGTCAAAGTGGGACATGAAAACAGACATTTCAGCGCCCAAACCGGCGAAGAGCCGGTCGACATGACTATTAACCTTGACGATGTTGGCATCGGCGTGGCCATACTCTGTCAAAAAGGGGTCAGAGAAAAAATTCCAGACAGTGTTCCAAAGATCACGAACCTCGCGCCTTTCCACGGGCAACATTCGTTGAGTCGATTCGCCATGCGATCTCCTGGCAACCATAGCTGGGTCAAGAGTATTAGTGTTATACCACGTGTGGATGTCGAAGGAGATAATACCAAATACCCCTATGCTCTAGCGTTAGCCCATGTTCAAAAACTCAAGGTATGAATAGAAAATAACACTCACAGAATGGGTACATCAAGGTCAAAAACAGCGGGATCAACATCTACACATATGAGTACAGGCAGCCGGACGTGCGGAAGACGGAAACCTTACGGGGCGAGCCCTCGTCGTAGACAGAAGAAGGGCCTAGTAGCTCAGCCAGGGTCCGGCGCAAACCATGCATTAACAGACTTCATACCTCCAGAGAACACAATTCCTTTGGGCTTCCATGACAGATCAGCGATCTTGGTTGTACACGGAAGCAACTCAGCGAAGACGCCGAGAGCCCGAAGACGACGTAGGATAAGATGACTGGTTTGAGACTTCACAGACGGAAGTTAGTCTTTTTCAATTGAAAGAGATGTCAGGAGCTATGCGGCAGTAATAAAACTCCGTTGTTGACCCCCGAGGCTCCTGAAACCGATCGAAGGAGGGGTGAAGGGGCGCCCGAAGTTACATACGCCAAAATCGAGAACAAGTATTGTCTAAAGAACCAAGCGTCAGCCAATCCATTTTTCTCACGTTTATTAATCTATTGCGCCCGCACGGGATCTGCGGTAATCGCTCGCAAGTGTGTTTCCAGGCTCCTCATTGCAGCGCTCCGGAGGATATTGATGGTACGTACGTCGAAGTTATTGTGAGGCTCTTCGGCCTCGAGGTTTGGAGACATTATAATCGTGATTTCTGCGGCGTCTTGAGAGTAATAGGGACGTTTGCAAAGTTGATCTGATGCTGAAAGAAAGGTAGGCTTGAAGTGAAAAAATATGGGTGGGTCACTCAATGAGTCAGTACTGCCGGTTTTATTTTTCTGGCCTTGGTGCCTTACGCTAATCCGAGATTAGTTAAGTTGTTTTGACTTCTCCTGTAATATTACAAGCCATTACACTTCTGGTAGAACAGCATAAATACTTTTAGCCTTAGTTCTATGTAATGCGTTGGTATAATTTACTGATCTAACCAGTTGGAGGGGCACTAACTGTAATCAACCCTAAACTTTTATCGAGGCCTCAGGTGTCGAAGGAATATTTACCGCCTGCTCAAAGCGGTAGGGGCCAAAGAAGTTACCCCGCGTAAGAGTGCCAAGGCGTTTACTATAAACTATTCCGAATCTAGTAATTATCTAATCTGATAAGGGGTCACGTGCTTAAGTATCCAACGAATCAGCTAGTCAGGAAGAGCGGGATATTAGGGTTCAATGTAGAGGGCTAGCCCTAGTCCTCAGCAGTCACCCTTTTTCCATCCCCTTGCCATCTGATCCAATGTCTTCGATAATACCCGCTGGTTCGTGAGACCAGCTAACTGCCAGCTCAGATCCAAATTTCCCATTCAATGCCATCATATGCGTTTGACAGAAACGGCAGCCTTGATCTGCAACCAAACCTGGTGCCGCAGCGGCTGAGGCTGAGGAACGCTCACTATAGATACATAAATACCTCATTATATTTGTGGATCTAGAGCGCTTTCACTGATGCAGGTACTACCTAGGTATCTTTCTTGGGGTGATAGTTCGACTTTCAGAACGAACCGGATATACATCTGACAGCGGATTATGACCGCTATTCCGAATACAGCATGTAATCTACAACCAACATTATATTTCACAGAGGTGCACCTAATTGGCTAGAATAGGCATCAGATATATGTCTTAATTGACCTTTATTCTAATCATAAATATGGCCTCAAGTAACCCCTGAATATTCTCTTTAGTTAGATATGTAGATTATATAGTATTCTTAATATTAACTAATATAGCGTTCTGAATCCATTGTTATAATAGTATATCTTAATAGTATTAGATTTTACTGATTTAGAAAAGGAACTGATTAATAGGATATAAGAGCTTATAAATAGCTAAATTCTAATTATTAAAGCTATTTCTAATCTATATATCTAAGAATTATATCTCTATTAATCTATAGTTCTTGTTAGAAACAGATGCTGGTAATCTTATTAAAATATTATGAATTTGGTGTTAAAATGATAGCAATAATTTAGAAAAAGGTTAACTTAATTAAATAATTGTATTAGTATAATTAGTTTAAATTAATTTAAACTAAGACAAGATAAGGAAAGGTTTGGGAATATATTAATCCTAATTTTGAGAATTTTAAATTAAATAAATATCTTTTTATTTTTAATAATTTTAAGAATAAGATTAACAAGGCTAATTATAAGTAGAAAGTGAAAGAGTATAAGAAGAAGGAATAGATCTTTAAAGCTATTCTTTCTTATATAAATGAGTTAGTTGGTATAATAGCTTAATCTTTAATCTCTAATAAAGAGGAGATCTATAATATATTAAAAATGTTATTAATCTATTTTAAATTATTAAATTAAAAGATATAATATAAGATTATTAGTAAGTAGACTAAATTAAGATTAAGGCTATTAAAAAGTAAAGATCTTGTTATCTAGATATTAGATTAGATGAAAATATATGGTAAAGTAAAAAAATTTAATATTAGTGGTTTCTTAGATTTAATAAAATAATCTTTATATAACTTTCTTAACTTTATTAAATCTAATTTTAATAGCTTTTATTAAGTCTATTTAGTGTAAGTTAAAATTATTAAAAATATTATCTTTGAGATATTAATCTTTTAATTTAATAAAAAGATTGCTGATTAGACTAAAAAAGGCTTAAATTTAAAGGTATATATAATTTAAAAGAGTAAGAAATTCTCTAGTAAAGAAGATTTAAGGGATTTTATGTTTATTAATTAGAATTAATTAAAAAAGAATAAGAGTAATAGAAAGAGTAATTAAAAAGATAATTAACTTTATTTATATACTTTTTCTAGAAATCTTTATCCTAGATGGGAAGATTATTTATATTATAATAAATAGATTTAAGAAAAAGACTAGATTTTTAATTTAGAGAAGACTAGAGCAGTAGCTAAAAATATTATTAGATATTTTTTCTTAATTAAGTTTATTAAAGAGTATAAAGTATAATTTTTAATAAAGTTAAAAATATATAAATTAATATATTTCTAACTAGGCTAGTTATTTATTTTAAGAGGAAGCTTCTTTTACTAGATTAATAAGGATATACTAATAGAAAGTTTTATTTATAATAATGATTTAAAGAATTATATTTATAATATTAGAAGTTGATTTATTGTTTTTAAAGATCTTAATCTAATTATTAACTTTGTTAGTATATTAGAAGGCTAAATATTAATATATAATATTAGTATAATTAAGGTTTTTTTTATTATGCTAGATAAAATAGAATTTAAATAATTAATAGTTCTTTATAATATATTATACTATCTAAAAATACTAATTAGTCTTATTTCTACTAATAAGTACAAGGAAGAGAGTCTTTATTAGGATAATTATAATAATATTCTATATCTTCTAAAAGAAGATTTAGAAAGAATGTAAATTATAAGAATTTTTAAATATTATAATTAAATTATTACTAAATATAATAAATTATTAATAAGTATAATATATATAGCTAAGAGATTAATTTTATATTTAAAATAAATTACTAAATTAATTATTTTTTGTTAATATTAATATGATTATCTAGAACACCCTAATAAAGAGATTTTTATTTATTTTAAAAAGAATATATAAAGAATACATATTTCTAGTAATTTTAATATATTTTTTTATAAATATTATAAATTAGTAAGAGTATTAGTTTAAATCTTATAATAATCTTAAAGGATTAAAAGCTTATTTTAGAAGATTATTTACTTTAATCTTATTCTTATTAAGAGATTATATAATAATATAAAATATATAATTTACTTCTACTATTTTTATTTATAATATTATAAAATTATCTTCATATAAGATAAAAAGATTTAAGGATCAATTTATAATTTTTTAAAAGGTCTTATAAAGAGAGGCTTTAATATTAGATTTATTTATACTAATAATAAGTAAGTACTAAGAAATAAATATATCTTATTCTATAAAAAAATAAATATTAAGCAAGAATATATTATAAATTATATATATAAGTAAAATAGCCTAGTAGAGAGATCTAGAGCATTTCTAATTATTCTTATAAGAGTTCTTATATATAGAGCAAATCTTCTATATTTACTCTGGCTAGAAGGACTGCAGTATATAATTTAATTAGTAAATTAATAGTTAAACTAGTAACTTGATTAAAGAATATTTTATAAGATTATTTAAAATTCTTATAGTTAAAATAATGTTTTATATTTAAGAATACTAAAAATCTTTAGTTATAAAATATATTAAAAGATTTCTAATATTCTATATTTTCAAAAGATGATGGAATGTGCAGAGATAAGATATTTTATAGGAATTAAATTTTCTAATATTTTCTAGATTTAGATTTTAGGCTAATAGGTTATTATTAGAACTTATATTATTGTATTTAATAAAAATATATTTTTTAATTCATTCTAGCTGGTCTAATAATATAGTTTATAGGAACCTATTGAGTTTAAAGAAATATTTGACATTATTCTGAACTTAGGGGGTGATCTAGTAGAAGAATTAGAGTTAGATAAGAAGATTATTAAAAAATCAGAAAATATATAGGAATTTACTAAATAGGCCACTCTAAAGATATAAAAAAAGGTCTCTAAGAAATTACACTCAATATACCTTTTAATATTATTAATAGTTGATTTTAGATATAGGTAATCTTTAAATTTACTGCTAAATCAATCTACTTAAAATAAGGAATTTTAAATATCTATATATAATCAAAGAAATGCTTGCTTACTTACTCTAAAATCCTTATCTTTGTCGGAAACTTCGGTTTGGTTACCATCAAGTATAGCTAGGATAGCTATTAACGGGCGAAGTTAATAGGCTTCTAAGATTGAAAGGTCTTGGTAGATGAAAGAAATAAGAATAAGATTATAAATATTCTAATTAATAGAAGATTATATATTTAAATTATCATAATTAATTTAAGATAATAGAAGAAAACTAAATATATAATAAATAAATATTCTTATATAGCTTTCCTTTATTATAGTTAATATAATAATAGCTCTATTTATTTTATTCTAATTAATATAATTAATATAATAATAGCTCTGCTAGCTCTATTATCTTAATTTTAAGACTTTATATATAATCCTTTATTTTAATATATATTAATCTTATAATAACTTATAATAACTAACTTAATTTATTAATTATAATATTTTAATTCTCTAATAATCCTTTTTTCTAAAAACTAATATTTTAACAGTTTAATAAATAGTTTATATTTTTTAAAATATAAATAATTAATTCTAACTTCTTAAATATTTTAAATATACAATTTTATAATTTTACATTAATTATATCTTTAAAGTAAAATATTAATAAGAATAATCTTATATTATATATTAAATAATCTAATATAAAATTATCTTTATCTTATTTTTATTACTTTTTATTAAATAAGATTTACATAAAATTAGAAATATTATTATACTATAGCAAGTATATATAAAATAATTATTATAAGTATATTTTAATAACTTTATTTAATCTTATATAGAAAAAACTTCTTTATATCTAAAAATACTTAGAAAAAAATAAGGATAAGATAAATACTAAAATTAAAATTTTTTTAGTAAAATATACTCATCTTAATAAATAATAAAAATTATTATAAAAGCATGCTAATTAATTTATTTAATTAGATATGAAAAATATTAAAGAGTTAAAAAGATTAAA